GAGGACTGGTTTGGTAACCAGAATAAGAATTTATGATTGAAAATTGGAAAAATGTCAAATTAGTCAAAATAGTCCATTGCGCAATAATAATATTATGGCATGCAAAGCTGGAGCATTATAGGCTAAAAAATACATAAGAAGGTATACACCTTCATGTGAATAAGATTCATTTAAATACCTTGATCAAAATATTTTTTCCCCAGATTTAAAAATGCCTTATTCATCCACTTTGATAAAAATCATCCCAGATTTTTTATTTATTGATAAATGCTAAAAATATCAAACTTCCGTTCCCTCAGCAGCAGGCTGCATCTGTAATGCATCAACCTTTTAACTATCAGAGGTCAACATAACGTGGTTTTTGAAAAGTTTGGCATTTCAACTCCTCCCCCACATATATTCTTTATATCGTTTACAGTTACAGAACCATCATTAAATAATGATATATAATAATTGGACACATTTACTTTAAAGTTTTATGAATCAATATCCTGACACCCAGGCACAGTGAGTTAAGAGTAAAGCACAGCTAAGTTTAAAACAGTTGGAGAAATTTGATTCTGCAGGGGTTTTAATGAAAAGTGAGATCTTCACACATGTGGATCAATTTATTGTAGGTGAAAAGACGAAATGAGCATTTAAAAGTGATAAGCTTTATTACAAGGGGAAAAACACTTTATAAATGCATCCGTGAAACATAGTAAAAAAAATAATGCATTTGGTATTAATAAGAAACAGATATTTGCATTTGCTAAATAAATCCCTGACGTGAGAAAGTCATTGCAGATATAACCTACAGATAGTACACCCGGAGAGTCGTCATGCCTCCCCAAGGGTAACAATATGGGACATGTGGGAAGGGACGTGACCTGTTCAAGGGTGAGATACAGCCTCAAAATATATGCTAATGAGGCTATTGGAATTGGCCAATGGCTGGGAGTGCCCAAAAAGATGCGCTTGCATGTGTCCGTGCTTCCTTATATTAAGAACAGGGCTCAAAATATCAAGTCCAGGCCTTACAGTTAAAAGCTACTTCAAGCCAAGAGGATACACTGCACAATTACCAAAGTAGAATTTCTACTTGCCAGCGCTGAATTTTATCTTGCCAAAGGCTAGTGGAACTTGTGAGCCCTAATAAGTGTATATGCTAGTCCAGGGATAGTCAACCTTTGGCACTCCAGATGTTGTGGACTACATCCTCCCTAATGCCCTTATACCCATAATGCTGTCAAATCATCACGGGAGGTGTAGTCCAAAACATCTGGAGTGCCAAAGGTTGCCTATGACTGTAGCGAGTCTGTGCTATTGCTAACTGACTTTACCAGATTCTGACATTCCATTATCATGTATAAACCTAAGCTTCCTTGGAAATGTTATTATGTATTCTAAATTAACCTTCTGCAGCTTGTTTTGGATTTTTCTCAATATTGCCAGATCTATCCTGGTGCCTCTTCTGCATCCGTCGTGTACGTGCCGTATCCTGGGGTCCACTACCCTAGTCCTGACACGGCGATAAGAGTATTCCCATTGAGAGTTCAGATAATACTCACTTAGTCAGACAATACCAGCAGGATGTTATATTATACCCACAGGGAACAGGATAACAATGAAGATGAAATAATACCTGTGAGAAAAGAAGGTACTTTGTTCCAACCTCCTCAGTGCTCGTTCTTTCAATCTTACAGATACTGACAATGTTCTGATTCAGGCAACAAAGTAACACAAATCTTATTAAGCTGGAACTCTGTTCATTTCTAAAAATTAAATTATTTTTTCTTCAGTCTGCTTCATTTTCTATAATCATTTTTTTTTTTTTTCAAGAACAACGGCATTGTTGTGCATTTAAAAATATGACAGAATGATTTATATTTAATATAACATTCACATGCAAACAATCACAAAGTCATGGAGGATGCCTTCCGTTTTCTTACATTATTACTGTGGAAACAGGAACTCGTTTGCTAAGACCCCTAGCTTCAGCCCACCTCATTAGAAAGCAAAATGTCAATTTTATAGGCTGCATAGCCAGGAAAACTATAACTACAATGTAATATATTTTCCTACTAAAAAATGTTTATCTTTAGCTGAATCTGTCTTTTCCTTTTTTAATTTATTTTTTAAAGTATGCATTTAAACATTAACTTATAATTCCTGCTGCGACTGTACTATGTTCCCTCCCTGAGATCCACTGTTTTACATGATCCTTGGTCAGTTACAGCCTAGGTTGCAGTGTGCTTATATTGTATATACAGCACCAAATGAGCCGTCTGATATTAGCACCATGTGAACACATAGCAAGCTGAGCAAGGCAGAATGATCTTCGGTTGGGTAAACGCCGTTTCTGACTGGCGATCATTTAAAATGGCAGCATTCAGGAAGGGGGCATAAGGTTACATGTATATTAACATGTTAACATGTATATTACAGGTTTTATTTTAACAAAAAAAAGGAAATATATGATGCTTTAGCTAAAAATATACTTGTAAGATAAATATACAATACATTTTGGGGACATTTGAAAGGTCACTATTGTCACAAAAACTATCTTATCCTTTTGAAGCAGTTTGTGTGTATTAAACATGACTCTGGAGTCTCGCTGCTCAATTCTCTGACATTTATGAGTTAAATCACTCTTGTTTCTGTATGTGCAGCTGTAGCCACACCTCCTCTGCCTGTGACTGACACAGTCTACATGGAAAAAAAAGGTTTTCAATTTTAATCAGATGTTGACTTACTTTAGAAGTGTTTTATCTTCTGCTCTGTAAATTGAACTTTAAGCACACACAGAAGGCTCCTGCATGGTCTAGGAAGCTATTAAGAGAGCAGGAGAGAACAAACTATACATTTATCAGACTGTGCAACAAAGGAAACATTAGATCTCTCTATACGGGAAGTGTTTAGGAAGGCTGCGTGGACCACATGTGGGGAGGTGTGACTAAGGCTGCATAAACAAAGTGATTTAACTCTTAAATGGCAGAGATATGAGCAGTGAGACTGCAGTGGCATGATCTATACACCAAAACTGCTTCATAAAGCTGAAGTTGTTTTATGTCTATAGTGTCCCTTTAAGGAGAAAGAACAAAAGATGGTGTCCATGTTATTTGGATTCCTAAAACTGAAAGAGTATGCATCGACTATTCTCTGAGACTGCATTATTGCAGGTAGGTTTGCTGAGCTTCTTGGGAAATGGATTTCATTAACATCTGCAGCTTCGCTGTTAATCACTTTCTGTTGGTATTTATTCTAAGAAAAATGTACATATGTTTGCTTGTTCATATGTGTTAAAATAGTGATATGTTTGTCAGGGAACATATATAGAAATAAAGTGTATAGGGGTATCAGAAAAACAGTCAAGTCAAAATGTGCTAATAGAGGGTCTCCGCATCACACAGGACAGTCTTCCAAGAATAATATTCGAACAATAGGTGATAGGAGAGATTATAACAGAACATCTTTAAAAATAAAAGAGTCACTGGCATACCAACTTACAACAAGACTTCTTACACATGTGTGTGATGTAGGTTCTTAGTAGAGTGATTGTGTGCTGTATGGGAGTGCGGCTGTACTCTGAAGTACAATGAGAGTTAAGAGTTCTGCCTAGATTGTTGGTGGGTATATGGATGTTTGATCATCTGAAAGGTTCCAGAGCACTGCAAGCAGAAATAATGTCTTCGTTTTCAGTCCGTTAGTAAAACCAGACATGCATCGTTATGTTGCCAAAATAATTAAACTGACCCTACTGCAATTATCATGCTGGAGGTCTTAAATTTGAATAAACTATTTAAAGATGTTGACTTTTCCAACACAAAAGAACAATATCTCCAGGGCAAAAACCATCACAAACTGTGCATGATTTATCCCCATCAAGGAGCTAACAGTGAGACAGATTAATCACTGTGTGTGCAGGCAGCTTACATTGAGTAGGGACCACTCGGGCAAAGAATAACACTTATCTAAGTTATGTTGAAGCTTGAAGCATATAATATCCCTAAAAAAATCTAACATGCTAATTACATAAAACCATATAGCATACTGTAATTTGTAGTAACATATAACATGAAACATACCGTATAACATCGCTCAAATATATCTAATGTTCTATAAAATATAGTAAGAGTATCAAAGAAATATTTCTGGCACCATGACAATGTGATCATAATGAAGTTGTTATGGTGCTATGAGGTCTCTGGCACTGGGTTATCTTCGGGGGTAAAACCTTTAACAAACGGTTTATCCTTAAGTTCTTCAGTCCGGTGTTAGTCAGCTCTGCCCCTGAACTTCTGTTGAAGCCAGAGGCTTCAGGCTGATGAGAGCATCAGTCTATAAGTAGCTCCCCGTTAACAAAATTTGAATTTGTAATACGTGTTTCTTACTCCATTTTGTGAATTGGGGAGTTACCGATTGTCTGAGAGCACCAGCTGATTGAAGCTTCGGACTGCAGCAGAAGTTCGAGGACAGCGTCGGGCTGAAGACTTTGGGGTTAAACTGTTCATAAACAGTTTAGCCCCTGAAGGTAAGCGGGTGCCATGGTCCTCCCGGTCTTATAACAACTTAATTGTGATGACGTTGTTACAGTGCCTGGAGAGTACCACTTACATTTACCATACGGGATTAGATGATGCACTAGAGCACTGTTTCCCAAACCAGTCCTCAAGACCCACCAACAGTCCAGGTTTTGTTAGTATCTCCATTGGAATAAAACAGGGAAACACATAAATCCTGGACTGTTGGTGGGCCACGAGGACTGGTTTTGGGACCACTGCACTAGAGGGATACAATACTGGCTCTGCATGTACACACTCTGGGATGCATTAGACAAGCAAATGTTTTGTATCACCACTTGGGTAAGAACAGAAGGAGCTTATTTAATTTAATAATATATTATAGTATTTCTTTACCAAAGAGAGATTTTATTTTGGATTTATAATGCTTTACATTTTCGAAAACTTTATTTGTTGAAAAGAACCAATCTACAAGCAAAATAAATCACATTTAATTGTCTTTTATTTATTTTTCTTTTATTTCAGGTAAAATAATATTTTTGGTTGCATTCATGTTCTATATGTTAAAAGGTAACGTTTTATTAATCCTGAGGATGTTCAGAACAGTATTAAAATGACACTTTGTAGATATTTGGCGATACTTCTCATCCACACTCTGTTGCCTTCGTAAAACTTATGCTACTGGTTAAGTGAAACATCATGCAACTTATTTACAATCTGTGCTTTTTCTCAGCTATATGGGACGTTCAAAAAGTAGACAATGGAGCATGAAAAATAATTAAAAGGGATGTTATGTAATATCTATGCCATGCGCAATACATCAATCTTCTTAAATATCAATGCCTACAATATCGATGCCTACAATAAGACCTTCTGTTTTGATTCCATTCTGATTCATTCAAGTCGTGAAATCCGATAAAAAAACAAAAACAAAAAAACACAACAACAAAAAATAAAACCACTGTTTATGAAAATTTTGTTAAATCAGATCTCCAGTCCTCCAGGCACCCCTATCAGTCCAGCATTTATTAAAGAAAAAAACAACAACAACTGGGTAATCCCTAAATCGTGGATTGGTAGGGGTACCTTGAGGACTGGTTTGGGAACCACTGGATAAGCTATATCCACAAGAACGCTCACATTAAGGAAAGCAGAATGAATGGCATCTAGAGTTAATTATTTTGAGCGGTTGTTTTGTGCCTTTTCAGGATTTAAACATTTTTTGTTTTGTTTAACACATTCTACAAACAGGTGCTCATCAGAATCTGCATGTTGCAGACAAAGAAAGCCAAAATGGCAACATTTCCATGTCAATGTCTTGGTGTTAACTTGGCAATTACAAAATATGCAGCAAACATAGATAAAATAGGACCCAGAAATACAATTACACGTCATTGAGTGTTAAACTCTAACTGGATTTGTAAATTCATGTACATAATTAATATGCTTTAAAAAAACCCGACATAATTGCATCATAGAATTAGTAAAGCTAAAAAAAATAAAAGTTTATTCTGTTTAAAAATAATAACGATTGGCACATTCACGCAGGTAATGGAGTCAATCTTACACATTTTCTGTCTCTGGCAAAAAGTATGACCAGATGTGAACTAGCACAAGGTCAAAGGTTACAACTGCAGAATTGCAGATAAAAAAAAAAAAAAAAAAAAATCAAAACCTGATAAATGATCATCAAATCAGTACAAGTCGATGTCTGTTTTGTAGTAAGGCAAATGGATATTATTTAGCAGTGTTTAACCCTTTTTACAGGTTGGGAGAGGGCAGACTAAAAGACAATTACAATTTCTTAGTTTTGATGTACTTGGGGTACACCAAAGTCTTATTCTAATACTCATTCAACATATCAGTAATACATTATAAATTACATCTTCCTTTGTACAAGCAAAATAAATTAGCTTTCTAACTGAATCAGTAAGTCTTCCTATGCATCATACACTTTCTAAGAAGAAAATATCTATAGTATTTCCGGCAAACTATTTAAAATCAAAACATATGCAAATCTTGTAAACCAATCAGCATAGTTCAGAACAATCATTGCATTCTATCGGTGCTACACTATAGCTTTGCTTAGCACCATGTGAAATAGGTTAAAAAAAAAAAAAAGCTATTATTTACAGAGGGTATGCACAAGTTCATTTTACTTCAGTATGGTTTAAATTGAGAAGTAAACAAGATGGTGGATCGTGGGGGTCCAGATGAGCCGCAGCCAAGACTGGAAGACGAGGTTTTCATGGTGAATTGTGGCAGAACGGGTAATAAATATCTAAATGATAAAAACGTAAAGGTGAGTTCAGAAGTAGTATCTAGGAGAGAGCTCTGTCTTGTGTCAAACCATTTTTAAAACAAGGAGGGGTGTGCTCGTAAATACTCTTTGCGCCATAACCACTACAAGGAGCAGTTGTGGCTGTGGTACTTAGAGTGACCCTTTTAAAGCATGCCTGCACAACCTGCAACCCCCACAGATGTTTTGAACTACAACTCCTATGATTCCCTGGCTATCTGCCATGATTCTCTGACATTCTGTTTCTTTCGAAGAATCATAGGCGGTGTAGTTCAAAACATCTGGTGGACCGTAGGTTGTGCAAGCCTGCTTTAAAGCAAGATATTGATCACAGAGTTATGCATTTTTCATGGGTACTTTTTTATAGCTGAAAAAAAAACTGTTAACTTTTTAAATTGTAATGGGCACATTTATGGAAAAATATATCATACAATACAATGCTGAAAATCATTTATAACTTTATACGATGCTTAGTGTTTTGTTTTCTTTTACATGTATATAAAATAGATCGCACCGAAACCACATCATCTTTTCTGATAATTTAAATTGTGCCCTTATGCTTGACAGGAAGCCAAGTGGAAGGTACTACGTTTTAGAACAGTGTCAATTTATACATTTAATGTTATTTCTTATATCTCACAGGAGAAAAGTTACACATTGTATCACTGGAAGGAAAGACTGCAAGCAAACAGCATACAGGTCTCTACGAATATTTGGCTCATTCATATTGTGATCATTGTTTAAACATGTGTTTAGTATATTGTGAGAAGCAGTCTTCCCAAGAAATGCTGAATGGATTTTTTTTTAATACATTTTAATCCCCTTCCCCATTAATTCATGGCTATAAAATTGTATAAATATGTTTTATTTCTTTATGTCTTGACAGTAAGACAATTTATTGTGGAAAGGTTTCTTGCTAATGAATACCTTGTGTCATCTCGGTCTGTGTTAACGCCTCTGGAATCTGTTGCATATTTGTAGACTACCAGCAGACATTCTTTGCAGAGCTGGACCAATCGCTGGCAGCACTGGACCTGCTGACGACTGACCATTTCTGTATTTCGGCTGATCACTGGCTCCCAAGAGTTCCTGAGGGAGAGAGACTCACGTCACAAATGGCAAACTAAGTGCATGACTGGTAAACAGGTTTAGCCAAAATAGGTTTAAACCATATAAAACATGTAACCTTGATGTGTTTGCTGTAAAAAGACCTGAATAGTTTAAGCCAAATACTGACAGATGGAGAGAATATGAAAAAAAGGAAAAGTTAATCTTTCTGTTTGAGAATGCCAGAAGTCATTATTCACTCCAGCCCTAAAGCATTCACAGCAGCAGTTGTTTAAGGTGATAACACCAAGATTTATTGTCAGATACTTTTTACGGTTATGAAAAATGAAGAACAAAAATATAGATTTATTTCAAATAGACTTTGGAACATCGTAAACCATAATGATGGTAAACTAATAACAAATATCTAATGGGTTATTGTTTCCTCGAGAAAGAAAATTCAATTCATGCCGCCTTTCACTGATCAAGCAGAAGATGCTAAGTAAATACATTTCGTTACAAGTGAGTTTCCAGGGTAATGAAAACAAAATCATTTCCATTTTCTTGCAACGGCCTCTCCAGCTCCCAAACCTCGGAATAGGAAGTACAGCCGTTTTCCCCCAGGATCAATTGGCGTCTTTTCCATTTAAAGTGTGTCAACAAAACTAAAGAATTACTTTGCAATAAAATAAAATATAAATAAATAAAGCTGCCGTCTGAATGGCACGGGTCTGATGCTCATTGTATAAAGTGTGTCAACATAAGTGAAGGATCAGTTTTTGATAAAGTAAAATTAACAAAGTCCCCATTGGCGCAAAATAGGGATACGCATTTGCAGAAAAACCAAAATTAGAATACATTTTTTTTTTTTTAAATGTGATTTTATTTGTCAAAAAATGTGATTACATTTAATAAACATATTGGAAGAACAGGTCACTGCTTGCATTTTGATCAAGTGGCGCATGCAAAAGAAAAAACAAAACAACTTAGCAGACCTAGCATTTTTATTATTTTTCGCAATGCTTTATTTTTAAATTATGTATTATCATTTCATTTATATAGGTATAAAACGGTAACTACAAATATGTGATTTATCCCGTGTTTTCCTATGCATAGGTAACGAGGGAATGAGGAAGTAGCACGAGAATGAGGATTTTAAGAATAATTTATATCAAATCGCAATAGAAGATAAATCTATGTCAATAAGACCAGTGGGAGGGAACAGGCAACACTCTGTCAATGTCAGTGGCAATGTCCCCATCTCTTTTATACTAAGGAGAGAAACTTAATAAAGCAGTGATGACAAAGGTTGGAGGCAAACAAGAATTAATACCCGTAGCTCTATAGGTGTAAACAGATCTCTTTAATAAAGTATTAAATATTAGCAATAAAATTAAGCTATTAAAAAAACGGTAGAAAACACAACTCAAACAGTATACTAGGTATAAGATAAACCTAAATGGATCTCCAGATAAATTAGGACTATTCAAATTATTTCAGAGTCCAAAATGCCAAAAAGCTGTCGCTGTAGGAACAAATTGCGTGAGATTAGATGTAGGAAGCCCTAATCAGTGGGGCAGCCGGCAGGAGCAGTTTTTAGAAAGGTAGCCAGGAGTTAGAGTGTTTGAAGCAACTACATAACATTCCTCAGTTCAGATAATGGTATTTTGAAGGAGCGTAAAAGGGAAGAAAGTCAGATTCTTATTTTCAGAATAATACATGCATGTTCCTCATTCTGGCAGCCAAACAATATTACCGATGCCATTATAAAACTGAAAGACTATGAGCTTGGTAGTATAAACAGGTGCCAATGGTGATTTGGGTAGCCCAAAAAAGGCAACTAGTTATATAGACATTTCATGCTTGGGTGGCAAGAGAACTGCTATGAGCCTGAGAAGAACGTGTAGAAGTTTTCTTTATGTAAAGATCATCTGCTAGATGTGTCCTGCTCCCGATCTTGTCAAGGCTATCTAGACACAACAATATGTTCTGATGCTAATGATGGAGCCTTCCAAAGTTGCCTGATTTTCCTGCAGCAATTTGAGGTTCTCCATGGCTTATGTAAGCTTCAAAGAAAGACCATCTAGGTCCTATCGCAATAGGAGATATCGGGTGGAGCTGTGATACAACTTATCTTTTAACTCTTTGTAACTCCTTTCCAGCTTAAAGCTGCAGAGTTTGGGTCAGGCTACATATTCATGACTGATTTGCTCAATCTGCCCATGGCCTGTCAAGGTGATCCTCTGATTTCCCTTGATTGCCCTTAAAGTGATCATCATGACTTACTAGACATTTGACAAGTCTGCCTGGTGACCAGTTTAGGCTTGCTAAAAAGTAACATAAAGCATGTTAAATACATTTTAGAAAGTAAAAGAAAAAGTTACAAGAACAGGGTTAAAACAATAGAACCTAAATGATGCTGAGCCAGCTAGTTTGTTGTTTTTGACCTTGTGATGCCATGTGTATAGTACGGGCAGTGCAGGCTGGCAAAGTGACAACTGAAGCAAATAAGAAAACAGATGGCACTTATTTGGGGTCAGGGAGCAATAATTAGTTACAAGAACCTACAGTGTGAGTGGAGAAATTAAAACAGAAGGACATATAGCACATTAAAGTCAATATTAATTCAGATATAAATTCATTTTGGATTAATCCTGAAATGATGACACTAGGTTTCACTTTTCCGTGTTGTTAAATCATTGCATACAGGAGAGCCCCATCACAGCAAAATCCTGACAGGCCATATTTTACACTATGATAAGTCCATTTCAAATTTATTCCATTGGAATAAAAAATACATTTTATTGTGATTGCCTAAAAGTTCCATTCTTCCCAGGATTAGTGTATTTGGCTTCTCTATAGATCACGATGTATTCAGAAAGGCTCAGACTCCCTTTAGAAGAAAAAAAAAAAAAGCTGAATAATCCAATCACAAACTTAAAAAGTAACTCATCTATTCTGTCAGGAAGCATCCCTATCTGACTGTCCTCACTATTCTATTTTCTACAGACTGATTTATTCATACTTTTTCAATAGCCAAGAGTACACGGATGTATTGATTTAAAATTTTTGTGATTCAGCCATACGATGAGGTTATCGGTTCCTTAAAACGAGCAGCTTTTTGAACCTGCATATATATATATATATATATATATATATATATATATCATTGCAATGGTATTAGTCCTCTGTTGAAATGAAATAAAAACATTTTTTAGTATGAAACAAAGTAAGACTTCTATAGATTTGACAAATCACTGCACAATGCGGTGGATTGGAACGAGATAGTCAAACTCTGAGCTGTTTAAAGCCTGACATAGGGAAGGGAATCTCCTGGCAATTTCCAAGAAAAGTGTGAGCCAGTCACAATAAGGCCTTAGGAATAATAACTAAAGAAGTAAAAAAAAGAAGTATCTTAAAGGGTCACATTATTATTATGAGTCACACATCTAATATAATGAAGATTGGGATTTTTAAACATGCGGAAAATCAGCCTGAATAAGAGAGAGTTAATACCACCTGCCGGTGGGTCAATAATACCAGAACAAACCTCAGAAAAGGAAAAAAAATAAAAAATAAAAAAATAAACAAAGGGATTCTTTTGATACTTTTATATGTAATTAGACAATGATGCATGGAGAGACTCAGAGAACAAAACTAGCTAAATGACAGCTTTGTGGCAACGCCAGGAAGTAGATTGTAGTACGAAGGAAAATTGCCAAAGGGAATTTATTTGTTTTCAGCTGGATTAAAACAATCTTTATTTAGGTGTCATGTGCCTATGAGTCAAAGAAACTTGTTCTCAAAGCGAGTCACAATACAATGGCAATCTCAATAAACCGCTGGGAGCATTTGTGTGGTTTTATGTCAGGCATCCTGGTACTACCTTAACCTGGAACAAAAAATTCATAAATAAAGTCACCAGACCGTACATGTGCCCGTACCAGGGCTGACCCCTGCTATACACTGGCCTGTCAACTTATTCCTTGAAATACAAGGCATTCATCCTAACGTTTGCCACCGCCGCAACACTGGACAGTCACCTAATGCCTTGAAATACAAGGCATTCGGCCCGCTGTCTGTCACCACCGCACGAGAGACCCTTGAGGAGCAGCTTGTGTTATTTCTACATACAGCTCAGGGTGGCAACGATGTCACTACAGAGCAGGCCACGAGGGAGAAGTGGTCCCTCGCACCAACAGATGAGGGCCTTCCAACATAAACAAGAAAGTGATGAGCCTGCCTACTTAATATATGGGTGCTGCCAACGCATAGTACAGTAGTTCATTAAGCTACCTTCCCAGTCTGTATGAGTGTGCATGACTGTCTGTATGTGTGCCTGTATAGCCGTTTGCATGGCTGTGAGTAAGTCTGTATGACTGTCTCTATGAGTGTATATGTGTGTCTGTGTATATGTGTATGCAGGACTGTGTGTTTAAGTCTGTTTGATTGTCTGCATGACTGGGAATGTGTGTTTGTATGGCTCTTCGTAAATGTTATCTTGAAGCTTTGGAATACAAACATTTTACATATACAAGATTGAAGTTTTGATGTTGGGGCCAGGAAGGGACACAAGATCCTACCCCATGCATACAATATCCCCCACCTGCTGACTACAGGTGGGGGGGGGATCATAAGCCCCTCTCCTATATATTTTGTCAAATAGCCGGTTAAATATTTTAAAGTCCACCACTCAATGCAATGGTAGGCTCCCCTACCACCATTATTTCCCAGACCTCAAACCCATGGAATCAGCCTTTTCTAGTGACTGAGAAGCAATGACTCATCAATTGCTGGTTTTAGATGTTAAGGAAGTATCCCCAACCGTCAGCAGTTCCTGGCTAGTCGCCACATTTCATTTTATTTTTATTTTTAATTCTTTATCTTTGAAGTGCATGAAGATACAGTCATGCTTATCATGCCCCAACAGCAAACAATAAGCTAGTCGGAATATAAAGCCTCATGTTGAAAGACATTAATATTAAACTTGCACTTTTTTAAGGTAGTAGTCAGGTTAAGTATACACATCTGGGTAGTTGGTAAAGTAAAGTATGAGTATAAGCTTAAATATAAATAAAATTATCCAGACTTGAGTCATAGTATTTGTAGAACATGCTGAGTAAGTACAAGTTAGTACCACTAAGCAAACAAAATAAAACAATAACTTAAGCAAAAAACTGAAATAATAAACAGCTGCAGGCAGAGCAGGGACTCCACTTCTGGTAGGTATGTTTTCTCACAGGGAAAGGTGGTCACCCAATTCCTTGAGTAGGGAAGGATTGTAAATAGTGCCACAGTCTGCCGGAATGGGCTGCGTAGTCGAGGCCATTTAAGAGCCGGTGTCATTGAACCACGAACTCTGACTTCTGGGTACCAAGTCCTTTCCCTGTGGGGGACTACGTAGGATCCTATGTCGTTTCCTTTGTAGTCCTCCGCAGGTGTGGATGATGATCAGGGGTCCAACCCTTACTGCAGGGGTGGGGAACCTTCTATCTGCAAAGGGCCATTTGGATATTTAAAACATAATTTGCGGGCCATACAAAATAATCAATAGTGGGCAGAATGGTGTAAGCTTCGGTATTTGCTGTGCCTGGTGGGTACCTTCCCGACTTCTCTTTTCTATGCCTCCCATCTCCCTCCACAGACTGTGAGGTGCGTGACACATGCTACATGCGTTTTTCCAGCTGCGCCCAGAATTAATCAAAGAGTGCCTACAGCCAGAGAGGTAAGCACATTATACCAGACAGTTTTGGCACCAAGCCCCGCAAAGCCGGTGTAAGTGCGTTGGCCATCTTGCCATGTGCTTGATTCGGCCCCGCGTCTGTGTTGAGTTGCCACAAGCGGTTTCAGGCTGTAGGTCTGTAACAAACTGGCCCAGCGGAGATGGGGATGACCAGACAATATCCAGTGAGCCTTCAAAGTGAGAGATCAGCGTGTCAGCGCGCCCTGATGAGCCGAGATAGTCGGCACAGGATGGTGCCCAGCTTCACTTTAAATAGCGAGAGACCTTTGCAATAGCCAAATTTGTAGATTTATATCAAATATTAGCTTAATTCACAGACTAAGCTGAGTAGCTCCCACAACCTGCGTCCTGCTTGCATGGCAGCCGGGCCCCGCCTCCGCAGCCATCACATATTTAACACTCGTGCCACAGAGTGATACTTACGAATTTAGCACGGTCAGCGGGCAAATGGTACCTAAAATTATTATTAGTTTGCATGAAGGCAAGTGAATGATCCTGCTTGATGCATTCGGTTCTGAATTTTATTATAACTGGGGCTTTAAGAATCCTCAGAATCCTATAATCATTTTAAGATTTAGATGCAAAAGCACTAAATTTAATCCGGACACTGAATGTATATAACAATTGCTGCAGATTTGCTAAGGGAGACCGAATTCCAACAGTATTTAGCTTTAATAAATATGAGAATTGCCACTGCGCTTAGAATTTGGTCAGATTTTGTGTTTAGTAAATAACCCTACTACTGTTTTCTGAGCACCAGATAAACAAACAGATATGGCTTCCAATACCCTTACAAATTATGATGAGACATGTAAAACTCTCTTCCAAATTAAAGAATAAATAGCAATATGTAGCAATGTGTAATATTCCATTTACATACTCCATATACAGAATTCCATATACACTTCTTAATATTATTAATTATCATGATTAAAAAAGAAACTAGAATACAATTAATAACATTACAGTTTTGCTATTTTATTCCCACCCTTTCTGTCCATCTCTCAGTCTGCAGCCTTTTCTTCCTAACAAAATATTGATGTACAGGATATCATTGCTTACTTCCTGCAGCTGAAAACGGACAACTAAACTACAACTCCCAGAAACCAGTGTTGTGCTCACAAATTACTGTTCAAATGTTAGTCAAAGAGACACTCAAAGCAACAAACACACTACAGATTAGTGTAATGTTTATATTGTCTGCAGTCTCAGTGTTCTCTCTTCTTTTGTCTTCTCTCTCATGTTTAACAAAAATGATGGCTCTGGGAGATCATACCTCCTCAGCTGCATTGAGAATGCAGTCTCTGGATGCTGTGGAAAACCACGATTTTTGGGAAACTGTTCCTTAAAGTTTTGTCATAAAACAAGGGGTCAGTGACCAGTGACAGGGACACTAAGCATCTTAACCATAACAGCTTGCTATAGTGGTTATGTTGCCTAGAGTGCTACTCAGGTAAGAATAACTGGCTCGTTGCCACTGCCTGATTTGGCAAGAGCTAATTGCAGAGCGGCAAAGATTGCATTTTTTTCAGAAAATATGGCAACTTCAAATATACATAAATTCAAATGCATTATTTTCTGTGTGTGTGTGTGTGTATATATATATATACACACATACACACACACACCAGTGACAGCTGCAGGGAATTGGCACTATCTATGGATGATTCCACGGTCTCGCGGGATCCTACATAGACCTCAATGCTGTACTGTCACGCGAGAGTACAGCAGCGAAGTTGGCTTCTGGTGCTAAAGCGCCAAGAGCTGATGATGGACTGGTAAGAGGAAGATGGCCGCACCCATGAGGGACAGATTCAGGTAAGTAAATCCAACCTTTACCTGCCCCTCTCCCACCAGCTGCAATGTCATCATTGGGGGTCTTTGCGAAGTCTGCAAAGTCCCCATAAGGTGACAGTGCGGCTTTAACAGAAATTACAGGAGATAAAATGAAAGTAGAAAAACTTGACTCCTACCCTGAGCTACAGAAACAGCTCCACAAGCCTTGGCCGTGACTCCAGAGTAGCCGGTTAAATACACGATTGAAACTGCGATATATTTGTAAACATTCAACATCCGAAACCTTCCAGATGCGCTGGAGAACCGTCCAAATATTTGTTCTCACAATATCTAAAATCTAGAGAAAAATTGAAAAAAAAAAAAAAATTATTCAAGCAAATCAATAATTAATATCAATAAACAAACATGCACCTAACAGATTCCTCCTACCAAAACACGACACAGTAATAATCACGGACATTAATAAATATCTTGTACTTAATAATCATGTTATAAATATAAATAAAAAAATTAAAAAAACAGCTTTATAAATTTGTTTTCCTATGATGAATATGACATTATATTCCTGAGCATCCCTTTGAAGGTGACGAACAATGTATTGAATGAGTAGTAGATAATGATTTTCCATAAGGCCAACAACTTCTGAAGCAAGCTACCGAATCCAAATACAGAAGATTATTTGTAAAAATGCTACTGTTCTCGTATGTCAAATGTGTTTTGTTAGCATACATTTTCTATACAGCACAGAGGAAAATGTTGGCACTATGAAAACCATTGTAATGCTGGCTGCATGTTATAATCAGAAATATATGCAAAAGATACCCTGCAGTTCATGTTGTCTCAGTAGGATACGGATATCACAGAAAACTCCTTTCTATATTGTTCCTCCTGCATTTACCACTAAATATTTATCTATCAGCTCAATGGTCTGCACCTCTCAGACTTTCCAGGTGCAACTATATCCTTTATTAAACCAAAACAGCAGTCACACAGCCATGCTCAACTGGTAGACCCAGCTATGTCTATATCCCGTATATCCATCCCTGCTGTCTCTATCTCAGTGGTTCCCAAACCAATTCTCATGCACCCCTTCCATTCCTTGATTTTGGGATTACCTAGTTGCGTCTATGGTGTTTTTAGAAAAGAAGAAAAAAAAAAAGAAAAAAAAAAAAAACACCTTAGACACAACTGGGTAATCACTAAATCCTGGACTGGTAGGGGTGCCTAGAGGAATGGTTTGGAAAGCACTGCTCTATCATATAGTGTCAATCCCATTTGATTTATCACGTTGTCTCTTGGGTCATGTTTTTGATTTTGTGACTGTTCTGGAGCAAACTGTGCCCGCAAAAAGTCATCCTGAAAATCCTTGCCTCCGAGCATTGTGCTTTGAAATATGCTGCATAAAACAATAAGTGAATGCTCTTAAAAGTCTTATTAAATCCAAATAAGCCCAACAGATTTATTTTGCACTACAGATGTATTTGACAATATAAATTCACCAATTAGCTGATATAAAGAATATATGCAAAAACCTAAAATCCTATTATCTTTTTCATTAAAATGGAAATGTGATAAAATCATTATTAGATATTTATAGAATGGGAACATATATTGCATTTGCAATACTGCACAAGATCAGGAAAGCGGAAAATATTAAAATACCATGCCCACTAATGCAGAGAGAGAGTCTAGATCGATCGTTTTTGAGGATTTATATGAAGTTTGTATTTTTTCTACCATGAACCTGTCCATTAAGGGTGACTCCTGTAGAACGGATTGATCTACATTCTGTAGATCTGGCATATAAACCACACAGGGAGGGCAAACTGAGAGAGAAGACATATGCCACAGAAGCATGGTAAAGGATCACTAAATGGTTCACAAAGGTACATGTTTTTATCAACTTGATGGAATTAATCTTTGTTAAAAAAAAAGAAATCTCTCAGATTTTGATAATTAACATAAAAAATGAACAAGGTAGAGGTAATTAATAAAGTAAAAAGCACCTTCTCACGATTTGATTTTACAAATCCACATGAGACAAAAATGGTGTATAAGAAATATATGTAAAACATAAGTGTGCCCCGCATGAACACTAATCTTCAAAGAAAGATAAAATTATTACAGAAGAGTTAACAACGTATACAACTTTTAAACATTTGAAGACCTTCTAGAATTGAGGTCCTATGGCCTTTTTATCTTCCTAAAACCAGTGGAGGCTGGTCCACAGGGATACGTTGGTGTGGTTATGACTATAGTTTGTGTGTTAGAGAAAAACAAGTTGTGTCTCTCATGATTAGTTCTGAGAGACACTTCCTTCAAGTAATGCCAGTAGATTTCACTGAGAGACTAAGCAACTAGTCGTTTTATGGGTGTGTTTTGCTAAATAAATGCCCAATTCTCTAGGTTAAGACTCCTCCGACATGCTAGGTCCTGGGTACCCAGGCCTGTGTATGGTTCTGTCTTCTGGGAGAGAGTCAGACCAGCTCATCATCTTCAAACTACACCAGCTGCCATTGACTAAAACTTAATTTACATCTTAGATAGGAGTTTTTAGTTTGGATCTGTTAGTCAAAACTTGTGTGCTGATCAAAAAAAGTCTTAAATCAAGCATTAAAATTTCAGGTGCTATGCTACTGACCAGCTTGATAAAGACCTGGTTACAGGTTGAAACGCTGCAATAAATCTGCCTGGAAGCAACCACAGTGAGTGCCTGAGATTTTTTTCATTAATACTGATTCCTTGGGGTTTGCAGACCCATGCTCAGTAGCACCCTGGGTTGAAAAATTGTGACAGAGTGCGACCCTCCCTTTCTTCTACTATGCTACTAACCAGGCCCATAAAGTTATTTACCACTGCAAATCTAAATGGTCCATGGCACACTGACCATGAGTTAATGCCTACTCACTTGGGCTAAAGGTTTCACTTACGAACAGGTAGGGGTAAATGGAAATTTCGAGTGGTGTCTTAAATCCTTCTAAAGGAGTCTTCATAAACCGATTGGCCATAGTAAGCAATGAATGGGTTCAATTTCTAGTAAGATTCTGGGTAGAGCCTTCTCAGGAGAATAACAAGTAACAAAAGGTTATAGAAAAAGAGACTCCTGAAGATGGATGCCTTAATGATGATAGTATGTCATCACCTTTATGAAGATAGTATGTTAATTAAAATACAGATTAAGAAACCATGCACACACACAAAAGTTAAATAAAAATAAATACAGTTCTAATTTCTACAAGGCTACTTAAGATCATCAATCTCAGCAAACAAATATGGGGACTCAGTTACACTATACACTATGTCATAGTAGCCCAATCTCGGTGGATCCTACACGAATTTTAACATGGGAGATAAATATGCTAACTGTAATACTTACTGCTTAAACGGCTTTCAGAGACTCTCCTCATTTATGCTTCCCTGTGCTCAACTCCAAAAGGGGCACCTATAGTGGATGGGTGGGGTGCTTAGCCCAATAGGAATATAGTCTGGTTTCCAAATCTACACAGAAAAAGGGGGAATTGGGGGCACACCCGGAACATGCATTTCTAAGTAGTGGTGCTGCTGTAAAGACCAAAATATATACAAAATACAGATTAAGGAGTAGCGCACACACAAAAGAATACAGTTCTAAATTGTATGTATTTAACGTTGTCTCATTATTTTAAACTAATAAAATTTACGCCCTCAGATCTTGTTAGGGTTTTAGCACCTACAATGAAACATATCTTTGTACCAAAGTTGAAATTGAGTTTGGACACAGTGCATTACTCCATAATATGACATTTCCTGAAGCAGTTCGAAGATTCGCATAACTTCCTCCCAAGAAACAGTACCAACTGACAGACAATCTCATTACTCTGCCAGTTAATTGCAAATTATATCGAAGTTGTTTTGTTTTGTGAAAGAAATTAAAGGTTTGGGTAATAAAGTTTTATGGGTCGAATACGGAGCCTTTTAAATCAGTTAATAATAACGCAATGGGACCAGTGAGATGATCGGTTTAAAAGCCATTTCAGGTTTGGAAAAATACAATTACTCTTAAAAGCTCAAACTCGCCATGGCAACAGGACTGAAGGTTTTTTTTTCCCCCAATGAAAGCTTTTCTGTGACAAGGACAATAGAGATATGTATGTTTCCAGTGATTATTTTATTTATCTTCTGGGGTTTTGATATACAATATTACTGTGAAAGAAGGAGATGGAGTGAGGCTATGAGAGGATGTTATGAATCACACTTGATCATTGTTATGATGGCACAGAAACCAATTTTCATATCGTAAGGTTTTACTACTTGACAAATTGAGTGCAACTATTTGTCAAGAAAATGGAGGTCATTGTGGGTAGAACAGATGGAATAATACTGACTTTGTATGGAAAACATATTATGATAATGCACGGAAATTGAGTGTTTAGTAAACACGTCTCCATAGCTCAAATGAACAACAAGATGACAAATGATACATCAGACAGTCTGCATTTCTAAGTAAATTAATTGCATTTGTGAATTTGTCATTTGCTGTCAGTCAGTGATGGCAGCAAGTTAAACATTGTGGACATGTAACTTCATGCATCTTAATGTGACACATTCAACTGGAATAATTCCAAAATTAATCCTGCTGGTTATGCAAGAATCTTCATGGTTGTGTTTGTAGCTCCCTGAATTGGCATACAAAGTTCCTGATCAAATATTTTACTCATCGTACAACTATCTCATGAAATGGCTTAGAGAACACAAACATGCATTCCTGCCCCCATAGTGTTAAAACCACTATTTAGGGTCGATGGAAGGGATGAGGAGCTTCTAGTTTCATACTAGCTTCTACTCCTAGCTAGCAATGAGCAAATATTTTGAAACAGTTGTTATATGACCAATGTTCGTTTGTTTGAAGAAAATGTTTTTTTCAAATAAAGATTGGCATCATTTGCATGCGTATGCTTATCCCAACCCCAGCCACTTTTGAGTGAACACTTCTTGGTAAAAATATTTCATTATAAGCAAATTGTAGCATATATCGAGGATTCTAGGACTCCATGCAACAACCCATAAATATCACTTTTTACTAGAATTATGCTTTGTTAAAATATTCCTTACACACATATTAAGTATGCCCCCAAATCCCAGTGTGAACCCATGTAATAAGATTTTTATAATTTTATTTAACAGATCTCATCCAAGATTGATCAAGAGAAGATTCATTTCCTACCACAAATCTCTCCAGGGCTACATGCTCCCAGCCGGTAGCCTATATTAGCAAATGTATCTAAATGGATCAGAAATAATGAAAACTCGGAGGAAAACTACTAGGTAGAGTTATAGAGCATGAGGCCTCATACTGAAGCATATTATTTGGGATAAAGAAAATCAATTTATCACCATGTAGGAACCTTAAGTCCTACAGAACATCCATTTAAAATGCCAGACTGCCTTTTGTATGGGAAAACAAGCAATCCAGAACTTGTAGTCCTTGTTCACAGTCTACAGAGTCATCACCCAATTACAAGAGGATGAAACTTAAAACTTGTTTTGGCACAAATGAGCAAAACTCATCTGATTCTCCTCAAAGTATTCCGCTCTGCATCACTTTTTGTGTTGTACTGTTTTAGACATGCTAAAACTCAGCTCTACGTTCTATAACTGGCAGTTGTTTTGGTTTTGGTTAGCACTTTGAGATGTAATAGTAAAAGAATACAATTCCAGCTATTACAGATGCAGACATAATGCATACAGAGATGAAAAATTCAAGCCTTAGAAGAGCAGTCTAAAAAAACAAAATCTTAATGAAGCTATTCTGGGGCTCGTGGGTTTTCTGAGAAGCGGGACTGTTTATATTTTGCAGTTTCCACGGATATATAGATTCTATAAATGAATCAATTTGACATCCGGTGTCAGCCTGCTAAGTATATTGATGCTGTATGATCTCAAGCCTTCAATTCAATCCTTCTCTATTGGAAGCATTAGATTGGTGGAACATGCAAAATATGTCCTCAATGCATCTACAAGAAACAACTGCGCGCACAAAAATAATAAAGATGAAGGATCGAGTATGTCTGTCAGTGAATGTCAGTGTGTAGCTATCAGTGTTAATGTTTGTGTATGTCGGTGAGTGTATGTACAGTCTATGTGTTTCTGAAAGTGTGTGCCTATCAGTGAAAGGGTGTGCCTATCAGTGAAAGGGTGTGCCTATCAGTGAGTGAGTGTCAGTGTGTGTCTATCAGTGAAAGTGTATGTGCCAATGACTGTGTATTTGTCAGTGAGTGTGTCTGTCAGTTAAAGTACGTGTTAATCTTAAACAGGAAAACAGGAAGGGGTGGGTGCCTGCGTTGTCATGCCTAGGACAGCAAAAAACAAAATAAACCACTGGTGGAAGGGGGTTATACATATATATTTCTTTATCATGCAGGTTTATCCCTTATAAACTTTATAGTCGCTTAATCTTCAAGCAGATCTGTCACCAAAAATAAACATCTAACCTGCTTCTTTATAGCTCTCTGTGCCTGAATCTCTTAATTTTTTTTTTCCTGAGACTCTAGTATTCATTAAACACATAAGGAAAAGTAGGGGCTACTTGTTTTATGTATGGCAGTCAAGCTGACAACAGTTGACAATGGGAGGAGCTTAAAGCAAATTTACTCACAATCCATCCTTAAATCAAACTACAGAAGAACAGCAGACACTTGGGGCAGAGGAGAACAAAATGGCTGCACACAGTAATTGAGATATGGTACAAATAAGAAAAGATAGTAAAATAATGCAAGTGGCAAAAGAGGAGGATAATGAATGGAAAACTACAATCGAAAGGGCCATTTTAACGGTTTGCAATGCTGCGGTTTTACAGACCTGACTCTTAGCAATGCTAGACGTCTCTCTGTCTTAACCCTATCCTAGTTTAACATACATAGATTCATACATAAACAAAAAGAAAATAAACAGAAAGGACATGCACCTATGCAAGAATGTATTTTCCATGGCACATTACTTTATCTGCCTGATTCGGTTAGTGTTGGTCTTTTTACGGTCTATGGAAATCATCCGGGCAATTATTAAACCAGATCCCAAGGCCACAACACAAATCGTATCCGTCCAGGGAAACATCATTAATCATCCCCACGCAAATGTTAGGAAAGGGGAACACAATCTCAGGACTCATCATTACTGTCAAATTCAATGGTAAATGGATCTCACCTTTCTTTGGGTCACAGAGTCCAATTTTATTAACCAATAGGAAGCCAGTTTTGGTTTGTGATATCTCCAGTTATCCATTATCTGAATCAGAGAAAGAAATAGATCAGACAGGTGAAGTACTACGTATTTTGTAGAGGAAGAACACACTGCATTATAGAGTGAGGACATTATGACTATAGATCTTTCCCAATCAGTGAAGAGGGCAATGCTTAGCTGATAAATATCCGTAGATAAATAAGCAGCCTAGCACGAAATGATGTGCATACATCATAACTACGCTTACGTCTGTAAGCAAATTCCAAGTACTAAACTGTTTAGTGCTGCAGGCGCTTAGCTAAGCGTTCCTGCTCTATGCAGCGAGAACGGGTCTCAGTCTTTCTTGGACAGTACTGCCGTTAATTTTTCAGCCAGTAACGGCTGCCAGGGAAACATTCAGATTGAGTAAATGTTACCTACAACCTAAATGGTCTCCAAGGTCCATTTCTACCAAAGCTGTAAACTAAGAAAATAGTTTCTCTGTATCCTTTCTGTAAGTTATATCATCGCCGAGGCAGAAATGTCTGGGAGCCCGTGGAGAGTTGTTCTTGAAGAGCATCCAGAGGTTGTAAAATATCTCTATAAATCTTTGTGAGAAGTGCCAGGATCCAGAACAATGTGGGCAATACTTTGTATTTTACGTTACAAAGTCTCATGTTCATTGTAAAGATTTTCTGCAACAAATGCACAACAGAAACTGTGCGGATCAAATACAGACATTCCAAACAAAGTCTAATTAAAGCGGCTGGGATTTTATGAGAATTTCATCTGAACCTAATTATCAAGGTTCCCATTTTGCCGAGCAATACAAAAAAAAAAAATATATATATGTATATATATTTTCCCAAAAGACCCTTTTATATACTGAGAAAATTAAATCTCCATAATACGTTTTGAACCACAATATATATCCCTGTATCCCAAAATATTACTAATAGTAATACTAACAATTAAAATTCCTACAGAATAAATATCCCCTGTTAATCTGGAATATCCTGAACCATTAATTTATAACATAGTGACTCTTACTTCTGAGCACTATTACTATGCAATGCTACGGAACTTTACCCAGAACAAAAGTTCTGCTTAAATTGTAGAGCTAAATGAAGGGGAAGGCGGAGATGTGTGCTACAGATTAAGACACATTAATTTGCATTTACGAATGAAACTAAAATAATAAAATCACAGTCAATCGTTGGCTTTTAGCTATGAATTAGTGCAAAAGATTCCTCTTACCTCCAATTACTACAAAGAAAAACTTGATTAGTGCAGAGTTCACCCTTCCTCTTCAATTATTACTGGGTACAAAGTTCCCTTCGCCCCTTTACTACACAGAGTGTCTTGATTAGTAAAGAGTTATTGATCTCTCCTGATTACTGCATTGTATCCCTGTCCCCTGCGGTTATTGCAGGGAACCCAATGATTAGTACGGTGTTCAAGTCACCCCTGCGATTACTACAGGAAATTCTGATTAGTACAGAGCTCCCCGTTCATTTCTAATCATTACAGGGAATAAACTGAAGACATCTCAGCTTCAATTTATACAGAGGAGTGCAGATTATTACTGGTCACAAGGCCGATTCACGCACTGCTCTGACCAATGGCAGAATTACATCTACTTACTTCTTCTATGATCAAACAGGTTTCCTCTTCCACCTTTCCTGGAAATCGTATTCTCAGATCTCGGAGAACAGCCAATGTCTGCCTTGTCAAGTCATCCTCCTGTTCTTTTGTGAAGTGATGTAACCCAGATTCATTCTGCACAATGGATTGCAATCTAAAGTCCATTATGGGTCACTGACACAGGTGCTCAAAAGTTCAGCTAATTAGAATTCAGTAATAACACATAATAATTAATAACAATACAGCAACACAATGACATTCATAACAACACAAAACCAATGTCTCTCCTCTGTTGGGGACCACTAGGATCCTTTTATTACCAGATGGAACTCCAGATCCACTACTGTGTCCATTGCATTGTAGGTTATGGTAGCAATCCAAAGACTAAATGCAAACAATGACATTATTATTACCAGCATTTATATAACAACTCCATATTCTACAGGTAGTAGTCAATATATGCAGCTCATTTATTTTTTTTTTTTTATTTGACAGACATCACAAGACATCATTTGACATTGCTGAATTAATGCAAATACTACATTTATTAATTGGACCATCTCTAAATATTGCGGGTTCTTTTACACCTACACCAATCGTGAGTCCCATTTGGTAATACAGAGATTTGGAAGAAGCACAACACATTTTATTATATTGTTTTAATTCTTAGCATATGTTTCGGTGCTTTGGTAGAGAGATGCACCTTGCTATTCTCTATTGCAAACCTAAGGATAAATTTGGGGTGAATTGTTTGGGCAACACAGGCTGTGCATGTGCACTAAGGGCTAAAGTTTCAAAATGTTTGGCAGGTGTAAGGAGAGTAGAGTAGGTTTAGGACAGGTGATACCCATACTTTTCTCCTGCCAAATGTTACAAGAGGACTTTGAATGGTTGTTACGTACTGTACAGATTTGTATGGTGAAAAATCTAGTTGGCTTGTGTATTACACGAGTGCCAATTTAACTTTACTTGCAAAAACATAATATTCAGGGAAATAATTTTTAATTAGTGGGGTAAAAGCTTCTTGATCCAAGGAGATATCGGACTACCATTCTGGGGTCAAGAAAGATTATTTGCTAGTTTGTTGAAAAATTGGAGGAGCTTCAAACTGGGTTTTTTGCCCTCTTTTGGATCAACAGCAAAAATAAATTTGAGAAAAGCTGAACTTGAGGATGCATATCTCTTTTCAGCCTATGTAACTTTTTTCTGATACCAGTGAAGGCGAAAATTAACTAGAATTTTTTTTAAAGAAACACTATAGTCGCCAGTGCAACTACATGTATTCCTGACCCTATAGTGTTAACATGACCATCTAGCCCCCCTGGGCCCCTCATGCCTCCATAAATATATTAAAAATCTTACTGTATTCAAGCCAGAAGCTGTAAATATGCATGCTGTTAGACTCAGGAAAAACAAGCAGTCTTGTGATAGCCTGATCCAATCACAGTGCTACCCATAGGATTGGCTGAGACTGACAAGGAGGCAGATCAGGGGCAGAGTCAGCATGATTCAAACACTGCCCTGGCCAATCAGCATCTCCTCATAGAGATGAATTGAATCAATGAATCTCAATGATGAAAGTTCATTGTCTGCATGCAGAGGGAGGAGATACGGAATCACAGGATATTCGTGCACAGCAGATCTGAGTGGATGGAGGCATATTATGCCTCCATCAACTCAGAAGTCCCTCTGGTTCACTCTGAGTGACTGCAACTGGAGGTGTTCCTAGCTTTCAATGTAAACACTATATTTTCTCAGAAAACACAGTGTTTACATGAGAAAGGCTGCAGGGAGCTAGTTCAGTTCTCACCTGAACAACCTCATTAAGCTGAAGTTGTTCAGGTGACTATAGTGTCCCTTTAAGGAACTTAAAACCAGCACCAACCCAAATGCCAAGTGTAACATGATGCAGTGATCCAACCCATTGAAAGGACATCTGATTGAAGAGGTTATGGGGCCTGGAGTCTACGGGCACAGAGTCCCACATCACTACTCAATGGTTCAATCACAGTTTAGCTGAGACTATTGGTTCCTGGCCATTTAAAACATGGCCTCTAATTTTGATTTGGCGGAGATGGAGCAATGCGTTCCAATAATCTCGAGTACATGGTGAGTAAATTACATATTTGTGACGTTGGACCCTAGACCCATAGACGTCAGGCAACATAACCACTTTAATCAGTTCAATTGTTTATGGTCCTGATAGTGTCCCTTTAATGGGTTGCGTCAATTCACTAAAGTGGTTATGATGCCTACAGTGTTCCTTTAAGTACAATCTGCGCTCCTTGCCCTAAAGATCATGAGCCATTTAGTCTAGATGTGTAGAGCACTCACCACTGATGAATATAAACTGCTGCACGTACTAGTGGCCGGTAAGCGGTTTGATGACGAGTTACGATTTAAAGAATTTGTTCGGTTTCCTGAAGCTGGTCTTTGGATTTGTGAAGGTATTTTGGAAGAGAATGAACGCTGTTCCGTCACTGGAGATTGTGCATTTAATGCGGTTATAGAGCGAGGGCAGCTGACAGAACGCCTGATTGGAGTTGTAGATGATGGAGACGATGCATGGATAAAAGGTCTGCTTTTAATAGGTGGCTGATGGTGATATCTACCTGCACACAAAAAAGGGAGTTAAAATCAATGGATAATCCTTACCATTAAACCACATGCAATACACCCATCAACACAAACAATTTAATAGCACCAAGCATTTCTGTTATGCAACATTTAATCTCAGCAAATTATTTGACCCAATGGATAGTACAGAAACAGCACTTACCTTTTTTTTTTAAAGGAACTCTATAGGGTCAGGAACACAAACATGCATCTAACCCCTGTGGCCCTCCCTTGCGTCCCCAAATATAGTAAAATCTTACTTGTATTCAAGTCTGCAGCTGCTGCCTCTGCCCTGTCTGCTTGTCTGACATCATCAAAAGTGTTGATCAAAAGCCAATCACAGTGCTGGCACAAGTTAAACACAGCCCTGGCCAGTCAGCATCACCTCATAGAGACGCATTGAATCAATGCATCTCTATGAGGAAAGTTCAGAGTCTCTTGGCAGAGGGTGGAGACAGTGAATGACAGTACCACACAGTGTGCAGAACTTCCCCAGGAAGCACCTATAGCAGCCATCTGAGGAGTGGTCAGTGGAGTTTTCACTAGGCTGTAATGTAAACACTGTATTTTCGGTGGAAAGACAATGTTTACTGCAAAAAGTCTGGATGAAATAATTCCACTTACCAGAACCAATACAATACTGTAGTTGTTCTGGTGACTATAGTGTCCCTTTAAGTTGTATACTATGATTAAGATTGGATAGCACAGTAAATACCAGCTGTGCTTTAAACATCATTTAACTTTCTGGTTGCCCACAAATCATTGCTCAGATACTATATGAGTGAATGTGAGAAACGCAACAAAATAAACACGCTGCTTTCAGGTTCGTTGAAGGGGATTTAATCTAAGGAGCAATAGGTGCAGAGCACATGTTAATCACCATCAGATAACATACTGGATCTTTCTAGTGATTTAAACTTGTGCTCTTCCAAATCATAGGAAACATGTTTCTCTTTTCTTCGATTTTCATCTTCCCGTTCTGTTTCTGAACCACTCCCAGAGTCGCTGCCACCTGTGTCACTGCTAGAGCTATTCTTCTGTTTTCGAGAGGCCTGGCTACTCTCCGGCATGGATGAAAGAGCCTGGAATAAAACAAAGATTTCATTAAATGAAAGGATTAGGAAATATACAATGGAGCAATGATACACAGGCAAGACTATCAGGGTTACTCACTAAAGTGAAAAGTCTAATTGAATTTCAAATTTAAGGCCAGAGTAGCTGAACTTTCTTAAAGCATGGCTTTAATTTTTCCAGTTTCGGCTATTTTGACCTTAAATTTGAAATTCACTTTGAATTCACCTTGAGTTCTCAGTTTAGTGAATAACCCTGTCTGATTATGATAAGAAAAAACAGCGTAATGCCTTCTGAGTTAGAAATTACAAGGGAAATGTCAGATTAGAAGAGAAGTTCCAGAATTGTCTCAATAATCTCAAACAAGCCTCCTTCTAGTTCAATTTAAACTACGGACATAAAACAGACATAAAAAGACTGATCGTCAGAAACCACAACCATTTCCAACCTCACACATGTAGCAAATCTATATAAACCATTAGAATATCAAATGTGGGAATGAACACGGATGCTTTGAGAAGTAAAATGCAACTGTACAATTTATCAGTGTCTTGGAAGAAGGAGGAAACTGTGCACGTGCAAAAGTGCTAGCCATTCACTCTGACCCCTGAAGTGCAATGTGTGGGCATTTTATCGGGACATGTGTAGTGGGAGAGAAATGCCATGCTTATTTGGAGACATCTCAACCCTAAAATGGTAAGACACGGCTATTTATATTTACACAATAACAGAGGAATTGGTCAGGGAATTGTAGGCCTCTTCCCCAGTACTCTCAGTTTATCAATGCCATCCAAGGTTGGATGACTTCACACTTAATAATGTAGAAGTGCAGTTTCCTTATCATCGGTGTGGCTACAGAGGAGGCGAGCTATAGGTGCTGGCGAGAGCTCCAGTATTTGTCAAACAGCTCCAAAATGACAGAGAACTGAGGAATGACAACCACAGACTCACAGCACCATAACCACCACTACAATAAGCTGTAGTGGTTATAGCGCCTGATTAAGCACACATTCATGTAAGATTTATTGCTGTGTAGTTTAGTTATAGTCATACACAACATAACATCTGAGCTCCTAGAAAAAAGTCAAAGCTAAGGCAGAAAAATGGGACAGAATAATCTGAGAACTAGAAAAGGGACGGTCTTTCCCACATAAAGACAATCGGGAGGTATGTTTCAGTACATTTATGGGGTATTAATTCTATTCATGTGTTCATTATCCATTCTCAATCTATGTTTACCATATAAGATCATTGTCCAGTTGTTAGAAACAGAACATGCCTGACATAGACTTTTCGTATTCAGAGCAGGCTGTAACAAGGGAAAAGGCTGAACAGAGCCTACAGATGATTAGCACAATTTTGCGAGCATTTAGTAACCATTAAAAGTATAAAGTGGTTATAAACCCGGGTTAGCCATGGATGAACATCCAGTGAATATCAAAAACCAAAGACTGATGCTTGATAAGAGTGACTGATTAACGATTAGACAGATATTTAGCAGGACATCTCCAGACAGTTTTACTATTTTACTTTGTCCATAGAACAGGAACACAATGTGAACCTCTCAAACAGTCTCAAATCAGCTTTTATTATCCAAAAGCTGCTTCTTTGATTTTATTCAAACTTTTAGCGGAACTTCGCCAACGTCACACAGGCCAAGATCTGCTCTATCCCAGTTCTACTGATGCCAAATGAGTTTGTAAAAAAAAGAGACACAGTAATTCTCAACACGATGGTTTTAGTATTTGAAAAAAAAATTCAAGAACGAAAAAGAGATTGGACTAATTTTTGTAAAGTGTTTACGAGGACATTAAATTTGGTGAAGAACGCGTTACCTTTAAAGCCTGATTAATAAAATAATAATTATAATCAAAAAAAAGAAAGATTTCCAAGATTTCGGAGTCTCTGCCTAAGATGTGGCCAAGAATTGTGCTGTGCAGATAGGATAGAAATGAAATGTTAATCCCCATTATGCAGATGTGCATTGTATAGCAGTTTAAATCCTACTTAGTTCACATTTTGGAGGAAAGAAAATCTCAGATTCTATTAAATGCATGAATTATTCATTCAACACATTTTCAAAGCTCAAAACATGACACAAAATAAAAAAAAATAAAAAAAAGTACAATAGTGTCCTGCAGGAAAGAGGTAGCACAGCGTGGAAAATCATTGCTAAGTCTCATTCTTCCCGAGGGTCACCTGCTGTTCGTTCTGTAAATTCAGCACTTTCCATTTAAGATTTTGGGGGTCATTCATCAAGAAGTGACCCCTTTTGTCAACATGTTTTTGTTGCAAAAGATTAGGAAGACACAGACAAAGAAACTTGCATGTGTTTCAGTCTATACTCTATGCAATAGATATCTGTAAAACAGCATGCGGTGACCAGTTCTAACACTGCGCCGTCTGATCAGCCAGCTGTAGAGATAGCAGCGAGCCATTCACGCCGCGGGACATGCGCACAAAGATGTGCAAGAAAATACACATTTAGATACCAGAATTTTAATTATTGACCTATCCTTCCACCTTGATACATAGTAACTAAACGAAACACACCATAGCCAATCCGTGTTAAATAAAGTATAGGAAGATTAGACGTTTGCCTGTATCAAAGTCGGACATACTGCCCTGTGTTCATAAAGTTGGCAGCCACGCTTCATTAAACATATTCCTGTGGATTAGGTTCTTGGCTCAATCCCCTGTGTAACAATAAATTAAACATGTTTTACCAATTGTGCTCAGTGATTATGATATACATATCTGCCAAATTACCCTATTTATAAGGTACAGTCCCTATTTTGGGCCCAAATCTGTCCCTCTTTTCTATCCTAATGTCCGTCTTTTCTAAGAGCTCCATATTGTTGGCATGTCTGAATGTTGCTCCACATCAATAATACTCCGAGTAATGTTTCTAAACTACAATGTGTGTTTAGATATCAGTCTGTGGAGATAAGATACATTGTTCTAAATTAAATTTTAGTTACCGGTAAATCAATTGTTATTACTAAGTTACTTAAATTTCCCGTTACAGCTCTGTCCCTGGCCACATCCCACTCACACCCTTAAAACTAATGTATCCATCTTTGTCCTGTAGGAATGTTGGCAGGTGTGGATATATGTCATTGCAATGCTATTGCACATACTTGGGAACATTATATATCTTCCGATCAGGGGTCTTGCATTGGAGGGCAGTGAAAGGGGTGATCCTTAGCCGTAAGATGGACTGTGGACCTTCCATGAAAAATACTGCCTCACCTTGTTGCCTTGCAAACCAGTGTTAAAAAAGTTAACACTTACAGGATTATTTGCTAAAGCGTGAAGTATGAAGATCTTATCCATCAAAGTTATGTTTTTATATTTGATTAAAATTCACTTTAAATTCCCAAGAATCCACACTTAGGTGAAAAGCCGATAAGCTGTGCTGCCGATCTGGAAGTGAGACATTTCTCTATCAGTGCTCCAATTACACACAGAGGGACTGCGCATGTCTCCCCCATAATTTGTCTTGTAAGGTTCAATATGCAAAGAGCTGCTCGTGGGAGAGGGAAGGAAGCTCTGAGACAGGAATTAAGTGGCCTACACAGTAGCAGTTATTACACAGTGCAGCATTACAACCACATATAGCTAAACCGCGTTATTCACGAAACTGACAAATATGGACAATTGAAAGTGGAATTGTAAATCTGAAGGTAAAATAGTAAAACTGCAAAAATAGAATTTTTCCAGTTCGGCTATTTTGGTATAAATTTGCAAATCTCTTGTCAATTTTTCAGAATTCCTGGTTTAGTAAACAAAGCTCAGGGTGTACAAACACCAGCTAGGGAATCCATATTATCAAATATGGTTAGAAACTCCTTACTTAAATGTATTGGAGCATTTTTATTTTGTTTTTTTTACAGGGTTTACTTTTGCCAAATGTACTTTATGCACTAAAATAATTTTGGTTCTGCACAATTTCTTTGAAAACTGGGGAAAATGCTATGTATATGTTCTTGATTTTAAAAAGACTGATTAGACGGATTTCCATAGTATGATGACAAGCAGGTTTTGCTGGCTTTTTTTTTTTGTGCTCAGTAGTTAAGGGGTTGAAAATAAATTTCTCAACAATGTGTCGGAATGAAATACTGGTCACGTTTTAAATGCATTTGGCTTAGGGAACATCATTTTCAGATGTGACACATGTGTTCAATGTGGTCCTGGCAACAAAATCAATCTCCGAGTTTAGGTAAGGACGCTCAACTATTCCAACATTTTAAGCATACGCACACAAGAAGCAAGAAGGACAACTCTGCTGCTGCTTAGATACATATAGGGCTCTTCCCCCCTCAAAAACAGTGAATTGGAGAAATTCAGGCCAATAGCACGATATTTAGGTTCATTCCAAAAGCAATTGTTCCACATTTACAACTCTGCAAACTTTTCAGATCACAACACTGTGATAAACCTTCCCTATTTTTACACATGGAATAGGTAACAAAAAGCGCTAAATCCAAGGAAGACTATAACACCCAACAGTAATAGTTGGAGAACTAGATTTATTCTACAAAAATTAATTCATAGAATACATAGGATATATATGTATGCTTCGTATAGCAGAGGCTAGACATTGAAGGTGAGATTTAAACTTGAAAAGGTTCTGAGTTGCTGCTTTTATATGAGGACATCCAGAATACCTGCAACAAAGAAAGATTTCAATAGTGATCATATCAGGTTATGTAGCCAGCAAGACATAAAGCTGGATTATAAAGCATGGAAAATACTGCAGAATTCCAAAGTAACAAGTCTCGGCAGTAATGGAAACCTACGGAACAGGTGCCACCAGTGGCATTCAGAAGTCTCTGATGTTGCAGGCAGTGTCTGCCCACTGGTAATAATCTTTTAGACCTAATTAAATGTTGCATTGCAAGTAATTTGATCTACAATAATGTTATAAAATGGTAACCAGTCTCTATTACAGTTTATATCCGTGGGCTTATATGAAAGCAGGGCAGGAGAATGCATGACAAGTGAGAGTGGCCAATGAGGAAACAAAAAAGGGAAATTAAAACTCAGGTGAGGAGGGGGCGGAGCTGCAATGGCGGATGCCTCTCTCTCGCAACTATACGTGGAGAGCCTGAAGCTGACAACCACCCGCAACCACAAGGCGGATTCCTTGAAGAGGCTAGATGCCATCTTTCATCAATTCTGGCTCATTTTGCAGCTCTGTATCCAAGCCACCGAGGCAATCAAGCACAAGGGAGTCAACTCTCTGACTACTCCCTACAGGGGAAAAAAGACTTGGACTGTAGCAGAGACCAGGTCTGTGGTTCACAGATGCCGGCCCTCGAACAAGCTTGGGGCTGGAGAGGTCCTCGTCCCGGCGATGAACACTCGGTGGATGGTATTACCACAATACTAAAGGCGAGAGTTGGCTAGATGAGAAGGGGGGACTGCTACATAAGCCTTCTGCCATAAGAGAACAGCAGCAGAGTTATAAATCCCTGCAAAAGCCACTCGCTAGTAACATATTTTATTATGCTTTATATGTTATCAATAGGTTTTCTCATTTATTATTAGTTCCTTCTCTTTAAGGGATAACCAGCTACATCGATATGCAATGGTAATGTGCTATATGACATACTCTCATATCTGAGGTTATTTAGAGTGTTATTAGGCACATGTCTTAGATAAGCTCCTAAAGCCTTTACAGTTCAGACATATGCTCAGACATGGCGGTTGAACAAGATCATTAATTGAAAAATGTGTACGTTTTCTAATATATCCCACTGTAATGCCTGATGAATAGCGTGTGGAATGCTGTTGGGGCACCACAAGCTGGTTTGTACATCTATGCACTGCAAAAATACAAAATAAAAACTCAGGTGAGAAAACAAAACTTGATTTAAGACACTTTCCCAGCTGTTGATTTCTCCTGAACATAGCACATTCTGGCTTAAAGCCATATGCCATTTTTGCCTTAGAGACATTACATTGATTTGTGATGGCCAAGGATTTACGCGAGAACACAGACCAGGTCAAAAGTCTAATTTGAAACCCAGAACCATGCCATGCTAGCAGGAAGGCTTTGGATCATGATCCCTTATGCTGTACAAATGTCGCTGGAAGTTGGTTAACCTCTACAGGGTTGTTAAAACTGGGCATAAGTCATACACCGATACACAGGATAAACAATCTGGAGACACAGATTATGGCTATGTACCCCTGCAATGGCTCAATGAAGTGTGAGTTAAATCAAGCTGGGCTAAACCTAGACAAACAACACCCATTGTTGCCGGCACAGGTTTTGCAAGGTTAGCTCATGTGCGCCCTGGTGTCAAAATAGTTGCATGAAAAAGGTGCAGAAAAGGTAACAAATAGGGTTAATACAATCTTAGGAATGCCTCTTCAACATGTATTTCTCATGTTTTCAACCCCTGTTCTCCCAACACTGGTAACAGATTTAAATGCAGGCTTCACAATCAGATCTCCAAGTTCTATTCCCATTTAAAACGTACTAGAATGCACAACAGTGATGTTATTAATGTTTAATTTTCAGTACTTTTTGAATCATATAATGTGTCCAGGCGATTTGTTTTGTCAGTTTAATAAACAAATAAATTATGAGCACAACTGACTGTGTTCACAATACACAATGGCGTCACTGAAATATAGTGTAATATTTGTCGTGTTTTGAGTAGAACATCATGTATCATCCCTTTAGCTTTTAGATTGTTTGCTAAAAAGCTATTCCCGGAGTATTATTAGGCAAACAGTAAGGTGCCAGCTTTCTGCTGATACATTGTCATGTAAGAGAGGAGAAACAAAGATTACTGCACACATCTTTCAGACTAAACTAACAATTCAAAGTTAGGCAATTGTAAAACACAAAGTGACATATACCTAAATAGAATGCAAAGATATGAATAAATCTCCAGGGTTACTGCATATCAAGCTGGGCACAGACAGCTGTATGCAAAAAAAAAAAAAAAAAAAAAAGGAGAGAGGCAAAAAGCATCACACATCCAGACCCCTTTGTAAGCTACTGACCTATATGACTCTATTCCATCTCTGACACATACAACCACACTCCAATGACAATCATGATCAAATTCGACCCCAGTGATCCACACAGTCCAACCGTGTGACCAACAACAATCGTTATCCCTCTCAGTGACCTAGATGGAAAATTCCAACTCAATGACCAAAATGGCAAGTTCCAATACAGTGACCAACATATTTAACTTCCAACCCAATTAAGCTCCACCTCGGCAGGGGAGGGCAGGCAGCCTTAGGCCTGGGGGGCAAATCCAGTCAAGCAACCCAATGCACCAAGACGAGAGTATAAACACCTTTCCCATGTGATTGAAAGGGGGACAATGACCTAAACAGACACACTCACTGCCAGGCACACACAGACCTGCTAATTTGACACACACTAACAAACACACACTCACTGACAGACATACTGACACACAGACATACATACTGACACACACAGACTTTACACTTTTAAAGCCAGGGGACAGGGCTGTATTAGTGGGCTAGGGGCTGTAGTGGATGGTATGAGCTGTTATTGGGGGGTTAGAAAATGTAGTGGGGGAATAGGGGTTGAAGTAGGTTGTTGAAGGGGTCAGGAGCTGAGGAAGGGGATAAAAAAAAAAACTAAAGTGTATTCCCCCCTCCCCTCTGTGAATCTTACCTTAGGACACGGAGGGATGGGCAGGAGGCAGCAGCCAGTGAAGTCGGCCTCTCCTGATGATCTCAGGAGGAGGGGGGGTGACTTCCTCTGCTCTTCTCCCAGACTCCCCAGCAGGAGACGGCAGACTCCACTGGCTGCAGGCTGCATGGAGAGAGGCAAGTTGAAAATTCTGAGTCCTCAGCCAGAGGCTTTTTTTCAGATTTTTCCTTTTTTTGCTGGATGCGGACTGCCCTGGATTTAGGGCGGCCTAGGGGGCAATTGCCTCCCTGCCTCCCGTCCCAGCCTGCCCCTGCACCCCAGCGAACAACATGGCAAGTTATACCTCAGTGACCAACATATTCATTCCACCAGTACAAACAATTTTCAAACTTGTGACCATCATGGCCAATTTCAATCCCATTGACCAACAGGGCAAGTTCCAACCAATGACCAATACGGCCAATTTCCAACCCGGTGACCAACAGGGCCAAGTTTCATCCCTTTGATCAACACAATCAGATTTCAAGATTTCAACCCAGTTAAAAGCCCAATCCAGGTGTAACTCAGTTACTACATTATTTTTATTCATCCTTGTAGGCAACACTATAGTGATATGGGGTTTCTTCACTATTGAATCAGCGGAATACCTATCTGAAGCTACAGAAGTGGACCTGTGTCTACAACAACTTCTCCAGTGTTTGCTACGTATGTGCCTATACATTTTAATATTTGCTGATCTTTATTTATGTAATTTCACATTAATAAATACAACAGTCATATAGCTTTGGACTCACCCTGCATGTGATTATATATATATATAATAATAATATAAAAATATAAAAATAATGAAGAATAAAAAAAAAGTGTGTGAAGAGGTCTATAGAAGGACTCAAAATTTGAAGTCCTGCACATTTAGTCCAGCATAAAGGTACTTGCTTGCATTCAGAACCTGCAATACGTTTCTTCTGAGATTACATAGATTAAACCATTAAAGAAAAACTATAGCGTTTACTTATAACACCAGTGTCTTTGCCAACCCCTTCTGCTAATAAAGGCTTAACTTACTGGCAATCTGGCATCAAGAAGGTAATGTGCCAAGGCTCTGTCCTGCTTTTAATGTATGCTGTCATGTATGCTTTTTAACCGTGGTTATATTCAGAAGAATAATGGAATAAAAAGGTTATTTTATTATGTTATTCCTACATACCCGTGGTTCCTTTTGCCGAGTGGATTTCCCCATCAGCTTTTCATCATCCAACTCACATTGTTCAAGAAGATCCAAAATGTCTTCTTCCTGTAAAGCAGAAGCAACGTAATGTTGGTGAATCTGCAAAAAACAAATTATTAATAAAGCAGATGAAATTTCACACTGTAATTAATCAATCTAGCATCTAGCTCTGGAGAAAATAGAGAAGGTATCCAAAAAAGGTGTGCATCATTAGAAGTATCCTCTAAGCCAGGGGTAGTCAACCTGGTCCCTACCACCCACTAGTGGACGATTTGGGATTTCAGGTGGGTGGTGGTGGGTTCTGAGGAAAATGCCTGGTGTGCTTCGATGGCCGTGGGACGAGGCCGGCAGGGGAGATCCTTTCATCTCCCCTGCCGGCCCATGCAGAGCCATCCTTGCTCTAAGCCCTCTTAGGTTGTGGAGATCAAAGAGGGAGGGAAAGGCCAAGGAGGCTGTGTTCCTTCCACGAGCAGGCTGGTCGAAGCATTGCCGCGCGTTAAAATGGCAACGCTCTGATACAGTACTGTTTTTGTGGAGGACTGCAGGCTAAAGTGAACATGCCACCACTGGACAGCCAGGACTTGCAGCATTATGTCCCTCCTCACTGGTAAAATGTAAGAAGAAGGGAGGGGGAGACATTAATTTAGATTTTCACATCTCACCCACCTAAACACAGCATAGACTACATCCCTTACACACACACACACACACACACAGCACCGCACACACACACACACACAAACACACAACACAACACATTTGCACTATAAAATTAGTTACTGTGGCACTGGTGGGCAGTAAGAACATTTTACCATCAACAAAGATACAAAAGTGGGTGATAGGTATTAAAAGGTTGACTACCCCTGCTCTAAGCAATGTAACCATTACTGCTCAGTATAGTGGTAATGTTGCCTCGAGTCTTTGGGCACGGTCTTTATTTCATTGTCAAATTTTTCAGAAGTTACAAATCCACAGTAACTCGCAGACACACAGCCTCTCCAGTCTCATGGATTATGTGGAATTTATAGTTTTCAAGACAAATACACCCAACCACGGTGGCAATGATTGGATTAAAGTGATGGGAGGGTTAGTCTGCAAGTGTTAAAGGCTTACTCCAAGCACCATACCTGCGTCAGAGTTTTGAAGTGGTCATGATGCATGCAGTCTGTGCATGAAATGATGCCCATACGGAATTTAACCACTTTGCTGACAGAGGTGAAACTCAACCTTTAGGAGAGTTATAAGTTATCTTGGAACAAGAGCGCCAGGCAGGGTAATGTCAATTCTGTGCACAGAGGGGACCCCATTGGATGAAAGTGATCAGATGACACTCAACCAATAAATGAATGGCAGGATTATTATCCGGCTTCTGCATCTCTCCAGATGTCATAAACCTGTTTACATAGGATACTGCCAGCAGGGTTTTGGGTAAGAAGGTAAACCACTGCAAAATGGTTGCATTTTCATTTTTCAAGCGCCTGCTCTGCTGCACATCAAATATGATGCTGACATGCCCACGTCCCACTCCATCATCTATACCTTAACCCTGCCAGTTATGTATTAGCAGTCGAATCTTTAAACAGCAAGCCATTTACACTGCAATTTATAAATACATCAGTGGGTTAACAGGGCAGCAAATTTATCAGTAAAGCAGAGAGTCAAACACACAGCAATTTAATAAGACAGCAGAGGGACGGTCATACAGCAGTTTTCTAATAGAGCAGCAGGACAGTAATAGAGCAATTTATTAAGACAGCAGAGGGCCAGACAGACAGTGCTTTATGAAGATAGCATTGTGCTGGTCATACAGCAATTTATTAATTATTAATACAAGGAACTGGTAGATTTGGGCAATTATAAACAACACCATACTTGTCTTTGGAATTAAGCCCAGTATTTAGAGGTGATATTCACACTTACATCCATGGGTCCAAAACCTCATTTTTTTATAGAACATATTATGTTTAAAATCAGGTGAATGTATTATTTTATCTATGGCAAACATGTTTTCATGTCTTTCTTCTGTAAATATAGAGCGGGCTATGCCCCTAGGCCATGGCTTACATCATCATTGGGTGCGTGCATAGCTCCATTGCAGCTTATTTCACCATTACCATTAATATTACCGTATATACTCGTGTATAAGTCGATCTCGTGTATAAGTCGAGTGCTGTTTTGTGACCAACAATTAAGAAATATGCTATGACTCGTGGATAAGTCGAGGGTAAAACTTGGGGCTATGAAATTCTGTGATTTTTTTTTTTTTTAATAATTTTGTCAGATTTTACCTAAGATCCTGGAACAATCAAACATGTCAGTTAAAAACTGGATTTAAAAAAAATCAGCAATCATGAACATGAACATTTAATTTATTAACTGTAACGAATTCCTTAAACTTATTACAGGGAACTTTTTAGTTATGCCCTCCAAAATAGCACAAACATTGTTTGGCCTATACAAATCCTTCAAACTCTGACTCATCATCGTCAGAATGTCCGAATAAGTCACGATATTGTTCTTCGGTGATGCCATCAGCATAAACGTCGTCTTCGCTGTCGTCATCTGTTGAATTGGCATATGAAGCCGATTCATCTTTCTCTTCATAGATGGCGTCGTCCTCTGATCCATCCATAGCGTTACTAATTCCGCATTTCAGGAACGACTTCTTGATCATTTCTGGTGATATTGAATCCCAAGCATCCTTTACCCATTTTGATATCAAATCAATGTCTGGTTTCTTCAAGTTTCCTCCTTTCGTTAACTTTGCTTGACCAGAACACATCCATTGTTGCCACATATTGCGTATTCGGTCCTTGAAAGGCTTGTTGAGACAGACATCCAGTGGCTGGAGCATTGATGTTAGGCCGCCTGGAATCACTGCTAACGTGGTTGCCATTTTTTTTGCTTCATCCTTCACATCCTCTGTTATATGCGCACGGAACATATCCCACACCAATAACGACGGACATTTTCTTAGCGCTGCGCCTGGTCGCCTGCCCCACACATTGCGCAGCCACAACTTTGTACCCTCCTCATCCATCCAGCCTTTAGGGTGAACACGAACAGTTACTCCTGCCGGAATTTTTAAATTCTTTGGCATTGTTTTCCTCTTGAATATTATTACCGGGCGCAGTTTAGTGCCATCTGCCAGGCAAGACAGTACAACAGTGAAATGTGACTTTTCATGACCGGTTGTTTTTATAAGTACAGTTTTTTCTCCAACGCTTTCTACAGTTCGATTGCCAGGCATATCAAATGTCATCGGAGTTTCATCCATATTACCAATGTTATTCAGAGCGAAACCATTCTTTTTTCTCTGTTTGATAATGAATTTGTGGAATGACATGACCTTTTCGTCCAGCTCTTTAGGCAGCTTCTGAGCGATCTTTGTTCGCTGACGAAGACACAATCCATATCGGTTCATGAATCGTGTGCACCAACCAGACGATGCTCTAAATTTTGTCATACCTTCAGTCGCCAAATATTTTTCTTTTGCAATCTGAAGTGCTCGTATTCGAATGCTCGAGCGAGTCACAGCATACCCATTTTGTCTACATTCCATTATCCAGTCATTCAAATCCTTTTCCATTCCATCAAAAGGTGTAGCTTTGAAACGTAATGCTTTCTTCAACTTCGGCATGGCTTGCAATTTAGCCTCATTTTTCCTCCAATCTCTTACGAGTTTTTCACTGATGCTAAACTCTCTTGCAGCTACGCTATTATTGGCTTCTTTTGCACGTTCAATAACTTTCAATTTAAGTGCAGCAGTGTAAGAAGCTCTCGTTTTCTTTGCAAAACTCATTTTTCTGAAGATAAGAATTTACCGAAAATATTCTGTTATTAATGTACCGTAATCTTAATAATCATTTGACAACAAACAAGAGTAAATAGTCAATCAAGTTCCCTTATATGGTGTACCGGTATGTTTCTTTCTCCCCCTCACTGCTCCTATGTGTCCATTTCTCCCCTTTTCTTCCCAGTCTCTATCTTCCCCTCTGTCTCTTTTTCCCTCCCCCTGTGTCTCTCTCTTGCACATGTTTCATTATCCCCTATCCCCTGTGTGTCTCTCTTCCCCTCCCTTTCGTGTGTCTCTATGTCTCCTTCTCCTTCTCCCTCTCCCCTTGTGTCTCTCTATTCCCTTTCTCCCGAGGCTGACCTTGCACGTGAGAGACTGGAAATATAACACAAATGTCTCTCTATGATGCTCCCTCGCGGTACCCACAATTCCCAGCATGGACACATCACGGAGTAAACACTACTCTATGATGTGGCTATGCTGTGCATTGTGGGAGCCGCGAGGGAGCATCATTCGGTAGTTTTGTCTGCTCCCTCCTTCAGTTCGTGCTTTCTGACAGCTGCACTGCTAGGATGAACCATGCTGCCCTGACAGTGTTTAAGCCCATAGTGTGCAGGGCAGCATAGTACGCCTTAACTATGGGCCAGGGACCCTACACTATAAGGCCAGGAATACATTTGTGTTCCTGACCTTATACTGTTCCTTTAATATATAGCGTATATAGTGTATCCTTTAATATATAGTGTGTATATAGTGTATATATTACACTGGCCCCCTTTTGCTTAGGGGGCAAGAGGGGGCCAGGGACCCTACACTATAAGGCCATGAATACATTTGTGTTCCTGACCTTATACTGTTCCTTTAATATATAGCGTATATAGTGTATCCTTTAATATATAGTGTGTATATATTACACTGGCCCCCTTTTGCTTAGGGGGCAAGAGGGGGCCAGGGACCCTACACTATAAGGCCATGAATACATTTGTGTTCCTGACCTTATACTGTTCCTTTAATATATAGCGTATATAGTGTATCCTTTAATATATAGTGTGTATATAGTGTATATATTACACTGGCCCCCTTTTGCTTAGGGGGCAAGAGGGGGCCAGGGACCCTACACTATAAGGCCAGGAATACATTTGTGTTCCTGACCTTATACTGTTCCTTTAATATATAGTGTATCCTTTAATATATAGTGTGTATATATTACACTGGCCCCCTTTTGCTTAGGGGGCAAGAGGGGGCCAGGGACCCTACACTATAAGGCCAGGAATACATTTGTGTTCCTGACCCTATACTGTTCCTTTAATATATACACACACGCACTCACTGGCTCATACACAAATGCACTCATTGACTCTTGACACACACATTCACTGACAGAAACACATACCATACACACACTGACAGAAACACACACACTGACATAAACACTCACATTCACTAACAGAAACACACTCACACTCACTGACAGAAACACTCACACTCACTGACAGAAACACTTCACTGACAGAAACACTCACACGTTCACTGATTCACTGACAGAAACACACATTCACTGACACAAACACATACACACACATTCACTGACAGAAACACACACATTCACTGACACAAACACATACACACACATTCACTGACACAAACACACACATTCACTGACACAAACACACACACACATTCACTGACACAACACACACATTCACTGACACAAACACACACATTCACTGACACAAACACATACACACACACACAAACACTCACGTTCACTGACACAAACACTCACGTTCACTGACAGAAACACATACCGTACACACACACACAAACACTCACGTTCACTGACACTGACACAACACACTTCACTGACACAAACACTCACATTCACTGACAGAAACACATACCGTACACACACACACAAACACTCACGTTCACTGACACAAACACTCACGTTCACTGACAGAAACACATACCGTACACACACACACAAACACTCACGTTCACTGACAAACACACATACCGTACACACACACACAAACACTCACGTTCACTGACACAAACACTCACCTTCACTGACAGAAACACATACCGTACACTCACTGACAGAAACACACACTGACAGAAACATACACACAGACACACACACTCACTGACACATACACACACACTCAATGACACAAACACACACACATTCATTGACAAACACACACTGACAAACAAACATACACACTGACAGAAACTCACTAGATTATAAACACTTTTGCTCTATTTCAAACACTTGGCTGCTGGGATATGATGTAATGTATCCCAGCAGCCCTTTACATAATGTGAGCTGATTGGCCCATCTGGAGGGGTGAGCTGATTGGTCCATCTGGAGGGGTGAGCTAATTTGGCCCGCGCGGCGCATCTGGAGGGGTGAGCTCATTTGGCCCGCGCGGCGCATCTGGAGGGGTAAGAGAAAGTGACCGGCGGGAGAGTGGTTTTATATGCTCCCGCCGGTCCCATGGCCCCCTCCCTCCCGATTATGCAGCCGCAGCCGCCACCGCAGCTGACTCCGCCGCAGCCGCCCTCCTTCTTCATGCTTTCAGTGTCAGAAAGCATGAAGGTGAGTATGCCGCCGGACCGGCTTGGCGGCCGCCCGGTCCGGCGGCACCACTATGATGTTTTTATTCTCCACCCCCCCTCACACCCGTGTATAAGTCGAGCCTGCAATATAACATTAATTTTGCAGGTAAAATTTCTCGACTTATACACGGGTATATACGGTATTTGTGTACGGGATTATAAAAAGGGGCGTATACTTAAAATGGAGAGTTATGTTTTTAAAAATGAGAGTCGGTTGAGGTGTGCCGAAACCGACGAGAGGTTAGGCCTGTAAAAAAGAGGGCCCACCCTGAATTATTGATATTTAAAAAAGGGTGTGGAGGGAGGGGATTTCCGGAACCGACGAAGACAGGTAAGTGAGGGTTCCTTGGGTTTAAATAGGCCTAAATCCCTCCCACAATTACAGGCATACGCCTTCTATTTGTGTACGGGATTATAAAAAGGGGCGTATACTTAAAATGGAGAGTTATGTTTTTAAAAATGAGAGTCGGTTGAGGTGTGCCGAAACCGACGAGAGGTTAGGCCTGTAAAAAAGAGGGCAAAAATAAGAGAAACAAACATTTATTAACACAACATTATTTAGACATGTTACAAAATGCAAGTCTGATCTCTTTCTCCGGGTTTGGAATGTACTGGTTATACGCGGAGGATTTCCAGCGGCCCATTTTCTTTATAATATGTGTTGGCACTTGACTACTTGAGGCTGTTGTGGCTGCTCCGATGCGGAATGAGTGTCCCGTGAAGGAATTAGGATTGAGGCCTAGTCTGAGGAGTAAAGCGCGGATGTATAGCATGAATTGTTTAGTGGTGAGAGGCTTACCTTGTAGGGTCAACAGAGGCAAATCTGGATTTTTAACTCGTTGATTCAGTATGAACTTATCTAGTACTTGTACTGGGCACCAGATGGAACCGGTAGGAAAGTATTTAATGTCTACTGGGGGACCTGATTGGTTAGTTTTTGTGCGGGGAATAGATAATATGAAATGATCATGTACTCTAGTTAGGTTTCCTTGTTTGAGACAATTTTTTGTGTCGGATATTTTCTCCACTGAAAATTCTTTAGGTCTGAGGAACCCAAAAAAGGCAAGATACGCTGCTGTCTTAATTACTAGGTTAGTGTTATATTCAAAAGGATTTTTATCTAATAGATTGGAGATATCTTTAAAGAGGTTACTGTCTATGGGGAGTCTTTTCAGGGCTACATGTGCCTTTTGTCTCTGGATACCTTTTAGTATACTTTTAACAGGGTATGTGGACAAGAAAGGGGACTTGTTTGGGAAAAGAATTAGCATGAAATGTTGTACTCCTGTTAAATAAAGTTTTATGGTATTGTAGGCTAGTTTTAATGAGAGGTGGCAAAAAGTTGAGAATGCAACCATAGTTTCTACAGAAAAACAGTTTATTATGTTGAAATCTCGTACAAATTTTTTGAACAGGTCAAATGCCCTATCGTAAGCTTTTTTTGTGTTTTCCGACAAGGCTGCCTGTGCAAGAATTCTACTATGTTCTAATAACTGATTTAGAGCATGATTAGGTCTTTGAATTGTGGGGGATTTATGGAGTGTTTGTTTGCTGTAGGGTGTAGTTTGAAGAATTCCTGCAAATTAAAACGAGACAAAGCATCAGCTGCATTATTTAAGACACCAGGAACATGGATACAATGCATATAGAACTGTAAATTTGCAGCCAACCAAGTAAGTTTCCTTACAAGACTCATGATTGGCAGGGACTGAGAACGGCCCTTGTTAATTATGTCGCATGCTGCTTGGTTATCAGAGTAACATTTCACTGCTTTCCCCCTCCAATGATTTCCCCAGATGAGAGCTGCCGCTACTATTGGGAAAATTTCGAAGAATGCAGAGGTTTTATCGAAATTCTCTAGGGTAAGTGTTTCGGGTGGCCAACTGTCGTACACCCATTCGTCCTCAAATATTGCAGCGTACCCGGTGGTAGCTGCTGCGTCTGTCCAGATAACCGGGGACTCATCTGATATGGGGGGAATAAAAAGTGACCTACCGTTCCATGTAGTTAAAAACAGTTCCCACATATTAAGGTCGGCCCTCGCAGGATTATCTAGATTAATTCTAGTGCCGTCGTCAGGGAGGCCGTGTAGGAGAGACAGAAGCCTAGAGATGAAAGACCTGCCTCGAGGGACAACTCTCATGGCGAAGTTAAGGGAACCCAAAAGCGACTGTAACTCTTTCCTGGTACAAGACCCTTGGTTGGTGCAGTTGTGAATGTTAGTAAGAATTCTGTCTACTTTCGTCTGAGGGAGGCTAGCTTGCATAGTCGCGGAATTAAGAGTGATGCCTAAGAAAGTTATTTCTGTACTGGGACCCTCTGTTTTGTTTGGAGCTACCGGGACTCCTAAGTCATTAAATAGGGATAGTGCATTACTTAGACTATGTGGCGTGTAGTAGCTAGGCTCGATATATAAAAAGTCATCGAGGTAGTGAATTACTACTGGGCACCTGGAATTGTTTAGTAGTAGCCAGTTTAAGGTTTCTGCGAATATATCGAAGATTTTTGGGCTACTTTTGGAGCCGAAGGTCAGCCTGGTTGCAAAATAGTATTTCCCTTCCCACTTAACACCATGAAGGTGCCAGAGTGACTGTTTAATTGGTAAGAGTTTGAAAGCGTTTGAAATATCTGTTTTGCTCACCCAGGCTGCGTCGCCCGAATTGATGATAGCTTGTATGGCGTCGTCTATTTTTGCGTACTGCAGTGAAAAGTCTTCTGACGGTATGAGGGAATTTAAGCTTGGGGCTGTGGAAGTATGAGGTGCTGAAAAGTCGATTATTAACCTCTTTTTATTGTTAAACTTGCCCGTGGCTATACCGAGTGGACTGGTTCTCCAGGAGGTGAAGGGTGGAGTAGTAAAGGGACCTATCATGAAACCAAGTTCAATTTCTTTATTGAGGAGATCCGTTAAAGTGACTGGGTCTGTAACAGCTGATTGTAGGTTGGGGCATTCTAGTATGCCTGAAGGGAGTGCTACCAAACCTGTGTGAAAGCCTGTCGTGAAACCTGATACGAGAAAGTCTGTCAAGTAAGAAGAAGGATGTACAGTCAAGTAACGTTGTAAATTGTTTACGTTTATTGGGGTCATAGCTTTTTTAGGGAACAGTTTGTTTGGACACATGGTTTTCGCGTGTGCTCTGAAACAGATTGAGCAAATATGAAGCAATCTACAAGCGCTGTAACTACAGCCTCCTGCGTTAAAGTTGTTACAGACTTGAGCTTTCCCGAGAAATACTATAGGTCTCCCCAACTTATCTTTCATTTCCCTTTGATTAGGGAAATAATCCGGACTGGTACTACTATTAGACGGACCACTTATATTATTTGGACAGAAATTTGCCGTATGAGACGCTGAGGCACATATTGCACATGCTGGTGTTTTAAGCCCGGCAAAATGTCTACAGAATAATTCTGTATCCAATTGACTCCAATCGATGGGGGTGTTGAACTGGGCCAATGATGCAGCTGACTTGGCAGCAAAGGACTTATGATAGTCGTAAAACGCGTACCCCCCGTATTTATAGGCTAATTCCACCAGTTTGTGCAGATATAGATCCAGCTCTTCTCTACGGTGTGGGAAGGCAGTGCAAACTACGTCTCTATATAGGCCAAAGGCTAGTACAAACTCAGGAATATTAAGTTTTTTGTTGAGCCTAGGATCTCTAGTTTTCATTACCACGGATATATCGCCGAAAGTATAGGCTCTATTTTCGATTATATCCTGTGAGGCAATGAGGAGAGAGGCTAGATTAACATCTTTCCCTTCTAGTATATCTCTTTTTAAGTTTTGTGGTATCAAATGTACTGGGTTTATTATATTAGATGTTTTAGCAGGGAATGGGTTGGAGTTACCTCCTGAGCTTGTTTCTGGTTGTCCTAGTGGGACTTGTACTTCCGGAATGCTAGCTTGACAAGAGGTTTCCAGATTATCTAATCTATTATTTATGGTAGCTACTGAAGCCACCAGGGAGGTCATCATATTACGTAATTCTGACAAGCTATTTTGGATCGTAGCATCGGAACTGGGGCCTGGTAACTCTACGTCTTGCGAGTTTAATAGGCGGAAAAGTTCAGCTTTTCTGGCTGTAGCCGGAAAAGGAATGTTCCTTTTATTCAGTTCAGCAGTGATTTTTGGGACAGTCCAGGATCTGTATTTGGACATCGTACTAGACTGTCTTGGCTGACTGCCAGGTCTGGAGGGAGTGCTGGCAAGTGACAGGTCTTCTTCTTGAACTGAATCGTTAGACATGCTATGGGCGTGAAAAGAGATGATTATGTTAGGAGGAAATAATTTTATTTTTTTTATTTATTTATTTATTTATTTTTTATGTGAGTGTGCTGGCTGACTAGCTAGTGCCGCTCTGCGGCGAAGCAATTACACTAAGCCGGTGACTGGTGAGGCCCTGCTAAGTGCCAAGCGGCTTGAGAGGCTCTATCTATGAGTTGGCGCAAGGGAATTTCGTGGCCACCTAACGTTGTGGCGGGGTGTTGGCCTCTCGATGAGTAGTAGTCATAAGATAGAATGGGAGTGACAGGTGAGGCCCTCTCTATGCCACGTGCGAGGCGGCTACCTATGGATTGGCCCGAGGGACGTAGTACCTCTGAATTGAGGATGGGTGTTGGCCTCGCGGGACCACTATTTTAAGGCGAGAGAGCCGGGATGATATTTAACACTACTGGGTTGCTATGACCTTAACAGCCAGCCACCTAAACTACGAGGGATGATACGTACGAAAAAGAAATAAATAAACGTTCGTTATCCTTACCTGTATGTGAACTTGGTACGTACTTGAGTCGCACTAATGAGTTTGTATGGTCGGGTGGTATATATTTTTTTATTTTTTTTTTTTTTACCCGAGCTGAATCACCTATTGCAAAAAAAAAACAAATGGGAGGCGTAAACTAGGCGAACTTGCTAATAAAATTTTTTTTATTTTTTATTTTTTATATACACTAACCGGACCGTGAACGTGAAAACCTGCGTAAATTGGTAGTACTGAATGACGAATTGGATTCCTAGAAAGGAAAGAATTGTTTATAAATAGCGTACGTGATACCAATTCGTAGTAAGACGAAGTGCCAGTGTACGGTCTGCCCTCATATATTTTTTTTTTTTTTTTTTAACTTAGGTTTGTAAGCTCGCAGCTACTACAAATCACTGACCCAAATATTCTTGATACACGTGATGTGTAAGAGGTCATAAAATGGCACCTGATGTATTTTTTAATCTCTACCCAATACATAATCCCTGTTTAATGCTTTCATTAATGGAGGGGTAGAAGTATGAAAACAGCCAACGGTGGCTATTAGGCTTACTGGGAGAGCACATTTCTAGATTCGAAAGATTCTAATACTGCATGTGCTAATAGACAGCATGACATGCCATGTACACATAATAAATGTAAATGGTTTTATATGACACGTATAAAGTATGTAACATAACAGCATAACGAAGAAAACAAATACACGTATATTCTAGGTAGAAAGAAACAGGATGATACAAATTGTAATCGGTATGCCCCTTTTTTCGAGAATGAAACAGTAGACTGAATCAGATATAGGTCAGTTTATTTTGGAATAAACATATTAGAGATTATCACGTGCGGAACCTACTTAAGTATTTCATAAGGGGAATCTCCTAAAATATTTGAATAGGAGAGCTAACACTCTCAGCAAAGAAATGGTGTCCAAGGCCAGATAAAACTACATGGGAACACTTTAAGTACTCTGGTCGGATCAAATCTTACCACGGGGCAATGCCAGAGGACTCCAAGCACCGTAATCAAGAGCAAACTTTAGTTAAAAATATCACTTATAAAGTCACTTCTTCTTTCTCTGTAAGTGACAGAACATGCAATAGCTGTAAGAAAACGAATGGCAACCCCCCCCCTGTAGAAAACCCCCATGCGACCAGTTGCTTAATCGAACAGTTATGAGGACTTACAGTTGTTGTAAATCACCGAACGGAGCCGTTCGTGAGCTCTCACTGAGACGCTGGACGTACTCTCTGAGCGACGCGGGAGAGTGACGTCAGAGGTCTGCGCGCAACGGAAGCGAGGAGACGGATTTCCGGAACCGACGAAGACAGGTAAGTGAGGGTTCCTTGGGTTTAAATAGGCCTAAATCCCTCCCACAATTACAGGCATACGCCTTCTATATGTGTGTTGACCATTCGCCCCTTATTTCCCTGATCTCCCAGGAAAGGAATCAGATTTCTGTTCTGTGTTCAAGGAAAACCGACTTTCAACTTTCTATGCGTCATCCTCACAGCCTCAAGTAACCAATAATGTGGTCCTATTTGTATTCTGTCCTTGTCCAATAAGCTATATGTTTAACAGCATGATCAGAGCATCAGATAGGAAGGCATGAGTGAGTGGTCTGCCTGTTTTCAGTGTTTTTGCTTTGTTTCCAGAGAAAAAGAAAAGTAACAGAACAACAGGTTCAATTCAGATAAAAAGGTTAAAGATCTCTGTACTTTATAACTGTAACTTTCAAACCCACTTTTCCTTTTCGGAGTGCACACAGCAGAGGGAGGGGAGATTTCTACTTTTCTTTCCTTCCATGTATGTAAGGGGACTGCCGCAGTAGCGTGGTATTAACTCAATAACTAGAAATCATTATCAAAATATTAACTTTTGATAAAAAGGAACTTCTATCAGTTCTGACAGTTATTCCGCAATGCAATATTATTTCCAAAATCCTTCAATTCGCATAAAATGAAAAATAAAATATTTGAAAAATGTAAACGGAAAATCATGTGGAATATATTTACATTGAAGAAATTTTACTGCTCCTTTTAAAATTGAAAAATAAGCAAACCGTTTATCAAAATAACTACATTAAGAAGTTGTCATGCAAAAAAAAAAGTGAACTGAAAAAGAAAACTTTGTCCATTCAAATTTCACCATGAAACTGCCAGAACGAATTAATCCATAGAGTAGCCAGGAGAGAGATACACTGACCCCTTAATGCCAATATTTGTCCTATCCCCAGTAACAAGATTGCTGGATATAATTAAAGAGATACTCCAGGATGGAAGTGACCCCATTTTTAATGCATTGTTGAGATAATGGACATAAGTGGAGCATATTCTAAAAGGGACAATTCCTCCTTAAACCAAAGAAAGACAAGCTGTATTCTCTTACCGGCTAATCTAGCTTTAAAACGGCTACTGTTTATGTAATAAATCTGCCTACAAACCAAGCCACAGTCATACAAACAAGCCTCAATGATCAAAAAGACTGTGGTGGGGAAGTTCATACAGACTCTTAACTGTGCTACGGCTCCAAAAGTACTTTTGGAAAACTATACAGCCCTGAAAATCTACAATGCTCCTTGTGTCCATTTGTATATTTTGCATAGCAGATCGGATGTGTTGTGAAACCACAATTAAAGTTACACACACTCATGAACCATGAGAGAGACGAGTGCCATTCACCCCCATCAGATGCATAGCATCGGCAGAATAAAAACACACACACATACATATTTTTATATATATATATATATATATATATATATATATATATATATATATATATATATATATATACATACATACATACATACATACATATATATATATATACATATATATATATATATATATATATATATATATATATATATACACACACACACACACACATACACACACACATCACAATTATATATACATCTGTATCCAACTTGAGCCACACATTTAACATCTCCAGAGGTTAAGTTTCTGGTGCAATTTGTGGCCACTCTATAAATACTTGACAAAGAGCACTCATGGGATTTAATAAATGCGTATAACACAGCTTTATTTATCAAGCAGACATGTGCACAACAAGTGTAGACGTTTCAGTGCTAACACAGTCATCCATCACTATAAGTTATGGTGTGTGTCTGCCTAAACCCCTCACAACAGATTCCTCATTATGGACCACACGATCATTTCTACATTGATGGAACAAGAAATGTCAGAACAGCTGATAGACTGCCTTGTTAATGTAAGATTTAAACCCATGTCTCTGCCCTAAATACAGTTAATACAACGCAGATTGCTGCTAAGAGAATGCAGGGAAATATTGGAATCTAAAGGATTAGTTTTATGCCACACTGCATTTATAGGTGTGTGACATTTCATTCACAAGATTGGTGTCTAAAATTGGTTACTCCAAATGACCAGCTTAAATTCTTGCATTCATTTCTTATAATTGAAAATATAAATTAAAAGGTTATTTCATCCACCATGACTACTTCAGTAATTTGAAGTCTGCCAACAGATGTGATCACCTTCTACCTTGCAGGTGCTCTGCAAGGTAACAAATCCTTCCCTCCCACCCACATTGCACTCCCTCCGTTATCCTCTGCACTTTTAAAAAAAATTTCTTAACCTTCCCTTTCCACTCTCACCCTCCCCTCGCCAGCCTGGACCGCACGCATGCACTCTGAGCATGATAAATGAGATCTTGTAATTAGTCTGGACATTGTGACAATTGAAGGGGGGGGCGCGCAGAAGCCAGCCCTGGGTGCTTTGCCCGGCGCTTGATTCCAGGTGAGTAAAATGCAATTTTATTTATTTATTTTTTTACCAATTTGGAGGGACAGGGGCCTTCTTCATGGTGATCAATAATGTTTTACACTAATACACTAATATTTTACACTAGAAAGGTCCCCCCCTCCAAAATGGTTGGAGTAGTCTTTAAACCTCGCAATGCCATGTGATCCAGAATGCCATTCCAATGTGTGCTTATTTTACATTTGCTGATACCCGTGTGTATGAACATACCATGGGACGGCACAAGACATCATTGAGCAGAGAACTTGCCCTGAACACAGAAGTGCAGAGAAGGTAAGTGTGCTTTTTACTTACCTTCACTGCATTAATCACACCAGCAAATGCGGTCTTAGCCTCTGAATTTGAACTCATGTTTATTTAAAGAATAAAAAATTCAGTCACATTTTATTAATAATTCACAGGAATTAACCTACCTTCATTCTTTTCAGAGGATTATTCATCTCCCGCTGAAGAGTAGCAGCCCGTCCGGCCAAGAATGTCTGAAAGGCAGTGGCAAGGAGACCCTCATATTTCTCTAATAATAATTTATCATCAGGTGGGTAGATCCTCCTACAGGAAAAAAAACAACAAAAAAAACAGTTTGTTTATCAGGTAGAATATATAAAACCCTCACTATGGCCTCAATTCAATATTTTTGGATAAACGTTTACAATTATTTAAGCAAAACATTAAAATATAAAAAAAAAAATCATATATCAATTATTACATTGATATTTCAAAATATTACAAAATTTAAATATTAATTTTAAAAGTTTATCCAAAAATATAAAATCATTTGAAACACATATCCAACAATATTAAAACAGGGCCTCTCTCAGCCAATAGCACGAGAGAGATTTAATAATATTATTGCTAAAAAAAATTAAAGGGACAAACACAGAAGAGAAAGGATGGTTTGTGATAAATATCACGTTTTGCTCTAATAAAAAAGAGCATTTAATTGTACACACAATGCACTAGTATAACTGCTTTCAACATCTAGATTATCGTAAAACGATATTGCCTTCTTCTTACCTATCAATCAATTTTCAGTTCAGAATCAACATAGCCCTCTATGCCAAGGAATGAAAAATAGGGGTTAGCAGGAGAACATTCCTACAGGCAATTCTTCTGCTCTGAGCCACAGCAATCACAACACTTACTCTGTAAATTATGTAAAATACTGATGCCAAACGCATCATGTACTTTGCAGAGAAGATGTACAGGGTGGGCCAAAATTACAGGTATGGTTTGAGAAGTCAATAACTTTTTGTTACTGAACCAATTTCAATGATATTATATACAATGAATGCTTAGAGAGACACTATAGTCACCAAAACAAGTTTAGCTTAATGAAGAAATTTTGGTCTATAGATCATGTCCCTGCAGTCTCACTGCTCAGCTTTCAGCCATTTAGAAGATACATTACTTTGTTTATGCAGCCCTAGTCACACCTCCCTGCATGTGACTTACACAGCTTTCCTAAACACTTCCTGTAAAAGGTCATCTAATATTTATACTTGAACAAATGTACTGGTATAAATATAAATAAAAAGGGGGCTTTATTGAAAGTGGCTCCAAGAGAAAAAAAAAAAAAAAAAAGTACCAGAAATACCAGTAGTTAGTTCTAAAATAACCATATCAGTATTAGAAGTATGAGGAGAGAGAGGAAGTACAGATTCTATTGACTGTAGATAACCGGCAAGTATTCAACTATAAAAGCCTATCTCCCTTCAAAGCTAACTAGACAGGCACAAGAAAATGAAAGGTAATAGGCAATCAAATAAACATAATTCCAAACAGTGATAAAAAAGAAACAATTAAGTGCCCAAAAGAAACCCAAACTAGAACTAGGGCTACTTTTTTTTTTTCTCTTGGATAAATAAAGTCCCCTTTTTATTTATATTTATACCAGTATGATCTGGAGGTGCTCATTATTAGATTTATTTTTTCATGATTTAACCTTATCCAGACATAGGAGTTTAGCCTCAGAAGGCTGTCTTTAGATCTATTTTGTATTATTTTATTGTATGATCCCTTATGAATACTTTTGTTGTTAAATGTTTAACATTTTGACACAACTACAATATATGTTACTAAGATTGTCCAAGTTGTACATAGGTTTCACTCTCAGTGAACCACTGTACATACATTTGTTCTATTCTTTGAATTTAGGATTAAGCCCTGAGAGACCCCTGGAGTCTCTCATTGGTGCAAAGGATAATTGGAATAGGACAGACAAGTACTTGTGCTGTGTTCTATCCTATCTCCATCATTTATCCTATTTTGTGTATGTGATGTTTATACTTCCTTTATTGTAAATTCTGTTTAATTTAGAATTTCGTATCTCCTGCTCTATGAATAGCTTGCTGGGTCATGCAGGAGCCTCTTGTTTGTAATTGCAGTTCAATTTACACAGCAGGAGATAAATACTTTTAAAGAAAGTTGGATCTGAGTGAAACTGAAACCATTTTGTTTCATGCAGGCTGTGTCAGTCACAGCCAAGGGAGGTGTGGCTATGGCTGCATTAACGGAAACAAAACTGGTTTAACTCCTAAATGCCTGTGAACTGAGCAGTGAGGCTGCAGGGGCATGATGTATACACAAAAACGGCATCATTAAGCTGAAGAAGTTGTTTTGTGACTACTCTTTAAAGTATGAAGATTTGTTTGACAAGACATGGAAGATGACCTCTTTTAAAAGAGCTCCATTTGCTGACTCACATAGTCTGGCTCTTTCGATTGCACTGTTCATAACATTAATGTTTGAGGCTCTAGCGCTCAAATTTCTGCCTGCTAACGTCCTGCGAGGTCACCCCGCACTAGACGGTACATTTGGTAGGGTGCAATTGGTACTGATGAATTATCTGTCGATGTTCCGTACCTCAGAAACGACAATTTTGATTATTGACATAACCATTTAAATAAAAATGAGTTGACGAATAAATTCCTTGTTTTCTCTGGCTAATTCATGGTTCCTTCGTGAAATTACCCATGATGAATCTCCCAAGTTATAATAATATGTACCTGCAAAAATATTTAACTACCCATACTTAACAAATAAGTTATTTACCTGTCAAATCCTACTCTGAATTTTGTCCCACAAAGAAAGAGTAACAGATAACTCCATTTTGATGTTGTGCTGGCAATGAAGTACGGAAATTAGAAATTTAAAGCCGAAACGGGTAAATTAGAAGAAAAGTGCTGCTATTTTGTTTTAAAATCATTAATACCCTTGCTGATTCTTTATATATTCTGGTTTAATAAATATTGTTCAGAAAATATACGGCTATTACACTCATATGTTTGAAACAAAATGTCTGCATGACTTCTCTCTTTAGGTTTATGACTAATCAGTAAATCATAGTGAATTTAAATCCAAATTGACTACATTTAAAATGACCATTACATTGGTTATTGTGTTATGAAGCTACGGGCCCTGTCTATACATCCTAACCCATCCAAAGATCTCCCAGTTTATCAATGCTGTCCAAGGTTGGACGGATTTGTACGTATTGAGCAAAATTGAGTTTTATCATCATCACTATGTCTGCAGATGGGTGACAAGGAAAGATCAATTTATGTCAAACTGCTATTAAAGGATTTGACAGAAATTTGGTAAAGTGCCCACAGATTCCTAGCACAAAAACCATGAGCCGTTTTGGCTGTGATACTTGGAGTGACGCTTTAAGCCAGTATAGCTTAGCTGGGCATATATTGTCAACTTTATGAATTTAAAAAACTCAGATCTTTTTCAGTTTAACACAATTCACAGTTTAGTGAATACTCCTATTCCTATTATCCATTTAAAACACTAGAAGTTTGCAGGAGAGGGAAACAAATTTTAATCAGTGTGAATGGGGAAATGGTGTGTACACGCTATTAAAGAACAGTTAGTGCTGATCTAATGACGTAAATAAGCATAGCCTGTGGCAATCTATTATCAATCCTCTAGAATAAAAAAGGAAAGTTATTTCCTTTTAGGCGGCTAATTGGAAATCCCAATTATGTGATATCTGTTGTTACGCCTACTTGTCTCGCAAAGGTTTGAATTCACTAATATGCCAAATTCTATGTATAAATGTTGCTAAAATTCTCTGTTTTAACCAATAAAAAAAGAGAAAACCCACATTTATACATGTACAAATGTGTATTTGCACTCAAACTATAAACACACAAATATTGGGAGTGTGCAGAGCAAACGAGACATCCACATGCTGAACATGGACACCCTCACACTGCATATAGACATTGTGAACGCACGCTTGAATACTATGCTTGCGCACACGCTTGAATACTGTGCTTGCATAGAGAGATCATGAGTGAATACACCTACACATATCAAATACACACTGTACATGAACATGTGCATTACAAGCTAAATGGTTTCTCCAGCCTGCAGTTGGTCCCCCACTTTTCATGCATTAAATACATAACCTGTATTAAAAAAAGGCAAACAATTATTTAAATAATTGCAAAATATTTAGAATTCATGTATTTGCTACAAATCTCCCAAACATTGCCCTCAGTGTTTGTGTACACATCCCCGCACAGTAGGTATTTGTAGGTTGGCAGTCAACGTTCTACTGAAAGCTGTACAACCTGTGGCAAACCTGACTAATAGCATTTATTTAAAAAAAAAAAAAATCATGTAATGCAAAGTGCATTGAATTACTTTTATGAAGGACGTTCATTTTGACTAGGTTTGACACAGGTTGTACAGCTTTCTACTGAAACTTGTACTGTGGACAGCAGACCTGATGGCAGGTAGTGTCATTCATGAAATCTATGACTGAAGTTAGTTACTCAAACTAATCAAAGCCAACGCATGGCTTCTATTGGCTTGGTAGACCACCATCCCTTCACACATGCATGGATTTGGTCTCAGGATGCTATGAGAATTCAAACAGCTTCTTACAATAAGAACGCTATGTAGGTAGGAAAGACATATGTGATGATGTCTACTGAACTATTGCAGAAAAAATATAAAAGAGAAGAACTTAAAATAAATAAATAAAAGCCATAAAATAGAAACAATCTATAACATTGCCCATACTGAAGCCCAGAAAGTCCCATAATGAAATAAAATGCCAGGAATATCTTCTTCCAGATTGTACGTCAAAGTGAGAACCTTAATGACTAGTCTAATCCTTTTTTTTTTTCTTCCTGTAAGAAGAGCGCTTGAATTCATTTATTGCTTCCCGATTTTGATCTCAAGCCAAGCAATGTTTCAAGAGTTTCACATGGAGCATGCAGCCCCCACACTGAGCACTACGTAAGGATTTCTCTGCTGAAGACATTTTTTTCTGTTCAACTTGAATTTTATTTTTCACTTTATTATTACTATTATTATATACTTTATAAATTACTTGTGTAATTTGTTATTAATAGTTTTGAGCATGTATCCTGTTCGTAGATTTTATTTTTTTCTTTTAGGTTAAACTCTTCATACTCAAAAATATACACTAAATATTCACTAATTAAACTACCACGTAAATATTTGATGAAGAAAAAAAGCTGGAATTCAGAGGAAAAGGGAATTATTCACAGTAGGAGTCTAAAAATGGAGAATGGTTAAAATTTAGCATATTTAAGTTGGAATAGCCTGAGGAGCTAAATGTTAAACTAGTGAATAACATTACCTGTATTATTCCGACATTTCCGATTTGGTAATAACTTCTAGTGACATGCTTTGTGACTTGGGATCCTTATGTTTATGAGTATCTTTATTATCAGTCTTGTGTGTCTATGTTAGGTTTTATAATATGTTTAAGATTTGTCCTCTTGTCTTTTAAACAAATCAGAAACATTACCTGTAATTACCAAGATTGCGGTTTTCATATTCCTCCCGGGATATCTGTTTCCGCACTTGACAAAGCCGCTCTTTCTAAAATACAGAATAAAAACAAAGATGGCATTTTGTGCAAATAAAATTATACTTTTTTTTTTTATTAATAAAAAGTATCAATGGCAGAAACCAAGCGGTATACAAATTAAAATACTTTTTCACTTTACACAAGACAACACAAAGAAGAACAAACTCTCTGTTAATCCCAGATTGTGAAAATTAATTTTAATGAGATAATCCACGATTTCATGCAAATTACTAACACCAAACAGGTGATGGCATTTCAAATTGCAGTAAGTTGTTTTTGATGTTTGTTTTTTGTATTAATGGATGGTTTGTACAACCGGTTATAAAAATTAGAGAAGATTATTTTCGACTTTTCAAAAACTCAATTACTGCTGTTTTCAGGGTTCGAAATCTGTTGAAAATAAATCTGCTGGAATGCTTTGGCCCTCGATGCCATGATACAAATGCTCACACATAGCTTGTTTGTCTTTTTGGGAGGAGGAATCCACCTATTGCTAGAAAAAAAAAATCAAACGTATTTTTGAAGAACCTAAAGGAGTGTTCAATATATTCTCCTCTTATTTTCATCCAAACGATGGCTGAGGATAGCAGGAGGTGTTAATTGCCTAAAGCTAGAGAGCTTCTACTCTGAAGCAAATATTACCGTAAGGGATTATTGCTATTGAATACTAGCGTATAGTTACCAACTCCTCTTTCCTTCTCTCCAGGGTGTGGCGCTGTTTCTCCCAGTCTGAGGACCCCGGTGATAGCCTCCTCATGGGCCCCTGACCATAGAGTCGCTTCTGAGCTTCTGCTTTCTGTTTGGCCAAGTTCTTCTTTTTATCACTTGCTCTGTAAAAAGATAAGTATACTCCCTGGAATAAACTATTAAATGAGCGTGTAACTATTTTACTGCCACCGTATGATTAACAAATAGAGGATGTGCATGCGCCAAATTAAATGCAGAATGCACTCTACAAGTAATAAAATCCAAAGTAAAAAAAAATAATATTTAAAAAAATGTACATAAAATAAATTTGCCAATGTATATCATTTTTAAAAATGGCCCTCTTGGCACATGTATGAAATGGGCAAAAATCTGAATGTTTCATCGAGACGTTTTGTTCATCTTTTTGTTGTTGGAAGTTAGACATAAACACTGCATTTTTTTTTTCTAAGGAAAAACCATGCACAAATTCTCTAAACAGTGTTATCTGATCTGATTAAAATTGAGCACGTGGAGATTTAGTTATTTTAGTCTACATTTTACCTAAACTCTTTGTTTATCGATAAAACCCAGAATCTGGTCTGTACATTGAATTGAAGTGAATTTAAAACTGAAATGCAAAATTTAGACTAAAATAGCCAAGCTATGACTTTACCAGAGATGGAGAATTTTTTCCAGTTCAACTATTTTAGCCTAAATTTTGCAATCTGAATCACATGAGTGATGTGGAGAGGTGGGACATCCTCCTGTTCAAGTCCGAAAGAAAGGTTACCAAGAACACTGAAATAAAGAAGCATGCTACCTGATGTTGAGAAGCTTGAGAGCATTTAGCAGAACTCCCTTCTTGACATCATAGTCAATCTTTTGGTCTGTTCCAAAGCTGGGAGCTCGATTGATCTAGATTAAGAAAGACAGCAACACAAAAAGGGGAGACAATAAAAAGTGACAAATCATAAAGTGCAAAAGTAAACCAGGATACAAGGTAGGGGGATTTTGTAAAACTGCATTCAAATATCAATAGGAGTTTGACTGCCGATGCGGAGATTAACTTTTAAGATTTTGCATGGTGATAAAAAAGTAGTATTAAAAATATCCATATTACAAGTAACAGAAAAACACTCCTCAGATCCTCAGACGTTTCATTTATTTATAACCAAAACTAAAATTTTCTTTCAGTATGCATCTCATGAAAACACTTAAAACACAACAGAGATTTAGATTCAACACTCACGACTGTGTAAAATATCAATATAATTAAAAAAAATTAAACAATGATATACATTAAGATCAATCTTTATAAATGGTTCCTGTGGGTAAACGGGTAAGTATGAGAGAATGTATGATGCCACGTGAATGCACACTTGCCGTTCGTCCCTGAAGTCAATAAGAGTGGTCATGCATTGTAGCCATGATGATAACTCATTGATAATACAGATAACTTCTTGACCCCTTCCATAACTTGTGGTTGTGGTTATACAGCTTGTGTTTCCAGGTGAAACAGCGACTAAATGAAGGCGCCATGTGAATAAGGTATCACTAGCTAGAACAATGAATAGATTGTGTTGTGGTTTATAGGAAGAGAAGAGGAAGAGGACCTTCAGAGTTGGAACCTGAAAGATTTACGGCTTTGTTTTGTTTATTTTACAACAAACATAAATTCAGATGAATATCAATGGACATAAAATCTGTGCCAAATATTTTATTGCTGCAAAAAAGCTCCCTTCGAAATGTACTTGAAAGCTTTGGATAAACCTCAGTTCTGCTCGTACTAAAATATGTCTATCGTAACGTTGGGGACATTCACCTTTCTAATCAGCCTGATTTATTTTTTTTTGTTTCTTGGGTTTTAATTAACACAAAATAGTCACATACAAAATAGATTTGAGTAGCAGCTTAAACTGTGAAAACAAACAGTGCTGGGGTAAAATCTATTTTAATCATTGTGTCAACATGCATAATTAAAAGTACGGATATGGGATGGATAAAATGTAAGCAGCGGCACCCGATATCAAGAAGTCAATTACAAACTCTTATCACAATGGTACAAAACCCCAACACGTCTTCATAGGATATTTCCCAATGTCCCATCCATATGCTGGAGGTGTGGAGAGGAGGAAGGTACCCTCAGCCACATTTGGTGGAACTGCTCAATCATACAGCCGTTCTGGTCCCAAATCAGCACAAAAATTACTGAGATCCTCCGAGAACCGTTCCCCCTCAACATGGAACAATACTTACTACACTCGACCCCACAACCAATCTCACAATACAAAAAATCCATATTGCGACATATGCTGGATGCAGCTAAAGCACTCATACCCGCGATGTGGAAACAGACACAGCCACCAACGCTAACCCAATGGTACGACAGAGTTGAGGAGATCCGCTCCGCAGAAAAGATGAGGGCGTCTCTCATGGGACAAAGTGAAAAATACGTGGAACGATGGGGGCCGTGGGTGGGGCATGTTGCCGAGAGACGGGAGACCGGGGGTGCGGGCGGCCACGCCGGCGGAGCGGGGGCAGGGGTGAGGTAGGGGCCGCGCACGCCTGCCACAAGACGGAACACCCACAAGGAAAACCACCACATGACCGACCAGACACAGGGGAGCAAGCCCACTAACCGGCATACAGGACCCGACCACTTGGGGAGGATTAAGGGAATCGATCAACATGAATATACACACAAGCCACCTCTAGAACATACTAAAACAAACAGACGTTCATGGGTGACAACGCGGCGCACGTACCATACCCTAAGGTTAAAAAGACCCCAACGACCGGGTCACGGTGTGCCAACAGCCTGGACAAGGGGAACACACACAAGAAGATATACTTACCCTGACTCTAGTAGCTTCACCACACATGACATGCCACATCAAAGAAACTACCAGGGTCAAAGCAGAACGTTACCCTCACATGTTACCCGATAACCACACAGGGAAGCTAAGTCAATACACCCCACAAACGAAGGGACACGGTCCTCCCCCAACCACACGGACACACACACACACGCCGACATCTAACGGCTTAGGGTACCCACACGCTACTACACTCACCACCTGAACTCCGGCAAGCGACTGCAGACAGAATTAGGGACGGCCTGACGGCCGTAATCCCGCAACTCAGACATGTTACACGACAAACTGACATTACTTTATCGGAACACAATGTTTTGTGCTCCTCTATCTGTCCACTCGATACTAGTTTTCTTTTGATAGTTTACGTTTTCAAGTTATGAGCCATCTGACTAGGATACCTAGGGACCTTCGTATCTTATTTTATGCCTTGCTCATGAGAATCTAGGCACCTCACAAGACCTAATAATGTAAAGCAGGTCGAAAACCTACGAGTTCCCACCAATCTATTCACATGTTATGCAATAAAAACTGTAACAAATTATCAATATAAATAAAAAAAGAAAAAAAAAAAAGAAAAAGAGCGCAACACATGGGACAAAGGTACTCATTATTAGCTGTTTGGAATGCATGGGACCTGCGAGTCCGCATCGTTCATTGGGGCCTGCGAGCCCAAAAGCAAATACTTTATGTTGTTGTTTCCAGGGACCTGCGAGTCCCATACCCCCACCCCTTGCCTATTTTTGTTGAAAATACGTTGCAAATACATTAATAAAAATCATATTTAAAAAAAAAAAATGTAAGCAGCGTGTTCGGTCTCTAATCACGCCATGGAAAAGTGTGAGCAATTACGGTATTAGACTGGTGAGAACATAGCTAGCAGACAGAACTATTATGATAGATATAGCGGCACAATCTTCCTGGTATGGACAAGGCAAACATAATGGTAATCTGACTGAGAAATTTTGTGATTTTACCAATAAGCCTTTCAATATCATTACATTTAGTTTATATAATGTGTACACTAGCTAAATTCGAAGAATAACTTTACAAGACTTGGTTTCGTCTAGAACTTTACAACCGTAATAGAATCGTACTCCTCAAGCCAAACCTATGCATTTAAAATTGAAATATGATTTTGAATCAATAAATTGGAAAATAAAAAGCAAGCAGGGAATTAGCAGAGGAGCAATGGATCCCAGCAGTAATCAGCATCAATGAAAATAACCATCTTCCCATCAATAACTTTTCCAAGTACCACTTGCACGGGGTCCTAGGAAGTTTTCAGTTTGGGACCCAAATTC